CTGCAGCAAAATGGAGGTTTGTGTATAACCTTCCATATGGAACTAATCCTTTTGTAATCTGAATCTTGGACAGCACAGTGTTGCTCTGGCCATTTGTAGAATTTACCATAATTGAATCAGGTTGGCTGTATGTGTGTGAATAGCCTCTACAGTGTTTGTGCCTCTTGTTGCAGGACACAGAACGAAAGTTTTCTCTTTGAGTCCAGCTTTGCAAGAGTTGTCTAATTTGTTTTTCCTTTCTTAGCCCTATGGGGTAAAAGGTGAAAGAGAAAAACAGAGGAGATGAGTAAATGTTCAGAGAAGAGTTGAACCCCAGAGAGGAGAAAACAGCAGTAGGGAAAACTGTCTGCAAGTAGAACTGTTTCCTGAGTTCCTTTGGATGGAAGGTCCATCAGTGATAATACTGGTGTATTACCCCGAAATGTTCCACTTATCTTTTCCCTTCTGATGGTATTACATTTAGAAGATCTAGTGCATTCAAGCCTGCTTTTGTGATCTGCATTACCTCAAAGTCATGTTTTATTCATATGGTTTCTTATTTTTTTTTCCCCTCTGGTACCTGTCTAATTTAATAATTGGCATGACTTATATTTTGTTGGAAAGGTCTAACACTTTTTCACATCTAAGAAAATTGATTTAATATTTAATATTAAATATCACCTTGTGTATGAACTTTTAAAATAAATTTTAACATATTACTCTTATTTTAGTAAGTTTAACTATATTTTTCAATTTAAATTTGAGTGGGGACAGTCAAATAATTTTTCAGATGTATCATGCTTCACTGCATAAGCAAATCCATCATCATTCAGAGGCATTCACTCTCTTGTAGGTGGTGACTGTTCCAAATGTAGCAGAGTTTGTACAGGTACCATTCCCATCGTATTATTACAAACCTTGGCTTGTTTCTGTCACGTGTAAGGCTGTTACGTGGAAAGCTGTCCATAGAATATTCTTCACTGACCTTAGTTTGATATGAAGTCCAGGAAATCACTGCTTAGATCCTTGTTTGACTAATGTATCTTCGCATTTGCACTGAGTTTAAGGCTGTATTTGCTGTCATTCCATTACACTGACTTGTTCTTAAATGAAAGAGTCTCGAGACTGGCCTCACAGTCACTGGCTAAAAATAAGAGCAGGTTGCTGTCTTTCACAGTGTTTACCATCAAGGAGCTTCTGCAACTTATTCTGACTTGAATCTTGTGCAGTTTGAGTCTAATAGTTGCTTGGTTCTTGTTGGTCAAGATTGCTGATGCCTTCTCTGTAGGGAACGGTGAGGCTTTGAAGAGTGTTATTGTATCCTGCATCCCAGACTGTTTCAGTGTTGTTGTCATCTGAATTTCTGCTTGGTCCATTTACACTTCCAGAGGATACTTGGAAATTGATGTAATAGACCAGTAAAGTGTGATGTTTTGGGTGTTTTTCTTTTACCCTCATGTCAAATTCTGGATTTAAGTTGCACACACCATAGGTATGATCTGGGAGTTTTTTAATCAACTTGGAAGTATAACTTCAGATTTTTACTCTTCTCATTGAAGATAATCTAGCCTCTTGACCCTGAACCCAATCCCTTAGAAAACATAGTTACTTTATAAGGTTATTTTCTGCAGTGTAGTATGGGGCTGCTTTGCTCCCTGCAGTAGAGCAGATCTCTAACAAAGGGATTGTATTCTGTATGGTTTGTTCTTTGTGTTGCCTTAATGTGATGCTCTTCATTGAAGGAAACAAAACTGAATTATTCAATTGAAATGAAGCATTGCTGTTTTACAGACACTGGGAAACACATGTGTTGATAATGTGTGTAAAAAACCCCGTATATCATGTGATGTCTTACTTTCCTTTCTTCTTGGCTTTGTTGATAAGAAGTGTTTCACTTTGAGTCTTCAAATATTTTCATTTTCAGTTTTTTGAAAGCATGCTTTTAATGAGTTTGGAAAGAAAGCTAAATACAGCTCATGATACATCGTGCAGTGCAGTTTGCAGTAGGGGATAAGATGAATTTGAATTCATACCAAGGTGAGCAGGTCATTGTTTTATATATTTGTATTATTGAGTAACTTCTTGAGGGCTGCAGCATAAACCAAGGAGACATAATTCACAAATCTAACTTTCACTTTAACCCGGAGAGAATGACTTCAAATTCCCTTGAACTGAAACCGATGGATTTAAACTGGCTTTAGCCTGTGGTGTTTAAGACAAAAACCTGGTTCTGGCAATGCGTATTGACTCAGCTGAAGTCATAACAAAATCAAGAAAGAATGCTGTATATTTTGAAAAAGATAGAACTAATAGATCAAAAATAAAGTCAACTTCTGAAAAAAAAATTGTCTGACTGTAGGCTAAACCTGCTGAGGTCTCATTGCAGCTTATTAGAATGCTATTTCTGGAAATATCTTTAGAACTTACATGAACTTTATCATACATACAACTATAATATAATTTATCAGGCCTGTGTTTGATAAATTATATTAAGAAAATACCTAACTTATAGACTGAGGAGGTTTTTTTACTTAGCAGGATGTCCCTCATTTTCATGAGAGTGGTTGTACAGGTATTGCTGTGAGGAACAGCAGTCAAGGAGCAGCTGTTAGGACACAGTTTGCTTTTGCTTTGGAAGTTGGAGGATCTCTAATTACTGCCGATCCTGGTGAGTAGCCATTCTCTCTTCCCAGGCATGTGCTGTCTGGCAGGCAGGTAGCTGACCTTATGTTAGAAGCTGAAGCAACCCTGTGGAGGCTCTCAGATAAACTACCTGCAGCTGAGCAAATGATGCTTTGACCATGTGCCCCAAACCAAAAAGATGAAGTTATACTGAATCAAACATGCAAGTTGGGAAGGCTTCAACCAGAACTTCCTTTCCTTTTGCTGCACTGAGCATGCAAAGGGACCCCAAAGGGCTCTGTACCTAAAAAGTAGCAGTACAACAGGGCAAGGCAACTCCTTAAAAAGAGACAGGTTAAACCTACTGGAGTGAGACAGGTTGAATAGAGATGTGCCCTGGCTTGGGGAAGGAGAGGAAGTGGGTCTCTTCTGCCAGTCCTGCTTTGCAGTAGCAGCTTTTGTTGTCTCCTCACACAAACCTGGGGACTGTGTCTGTGGAGGGCCCCCATGCCCTTTCACAGACCCCCACAAGGTGTGGGTCCTTTTCTGTCTGGGCTGTCTTTCATTCCTTTTGCTTTTTATTGCCTAGAAAATAACAGAACTTGCTTTCAGTCACTGCTGTAGTCTTTGTTCCAAGGGGTTTTCCAGCTCAGCAGGTATAGGGTGAGCTAGTCAGTCTTTCCTGCTGTCAAGCCACAGTCTTTAAAGACCTACTCTATACTATACAGTGACTTGTGGGCAGACAAGTGTCTGTTCTCTATTGCAGGTGAATTAGTATCTGACTGACTTGAAGGATTGAACTCTGAAATCATTACTGTGCTTTACAGAACACAATGTAATGTCTTGTTTCCTTTGTCTAATTTTGACAGCATATGTGTGTCTGTAATTGGAGATGTGAAAATAAGAGTAAGTAAAATAAGTCCAGATATTTGCTGGAAGAACTGTAATAGAATTGCTGACACTAACAGAATTTAATGATCCACTGATTGATGATACCCTAAATGAGCAAGAAAAAAGGGATACCGTAATCCTTTCTGCATATTCCCCAAGCTTGTGTTAGGGTTTGGGAACTAATCTATCCATGCATGTTACCTATGATAAGAAAGTGAAAACTGTGATTATAATGGGACTGTCTTAAAAAGTGTCACGTTGATTGTGCTGGTTGCACTGTACTTGAGTCTTTCAAATTGCGAATCTCAGTGATTATGTACCTGGCAGTGCTTTTAACACCTTCTGGCTTGCTTGACCATAATTTATAGCTCTTGCATTCACTCACAAATTGTGCAGGCAGTTGAACTGGTTATCATCACAAAAGGCATTTGCTGTCTTTCTAGATGAAAGCAGAATATTGACTGTTCATTACAAGTAAAACATAGATTTTTTTTTTCCTTTTTATTTACCTGGACTCTTTGGAAATTAGTTATGATGGAGACTTCCTCCACTTGTGAAATGCTGCAAAATACAAAAAAACTGTCAAGTCAGGTCTGGTCCCCCATGTGAACTACTGGGGCAAGGGTCTTAACATCTTGTGCTTTTAAATATTTGTAGTTAAAATATTATATGTATCTTTAGTAACTAATTTGGCTTAAGATTGCTCCTAGTCATGTCTTTTGGTTTGTGTAGATTGGCTTCAGAGAATTATCATTGTTTTAACTAGGCCTCCAGGAAAGTATTGTTACTTTGCTGGATCCACTTATTCACTTTCTGACTGTTTTGGATATTTTTATATATATATATATTATTTTCAAAATACTGCGCTGGATAAAAATCTGTTTCAAAAGTGAGAGTCAAAGATAATCTCAGCTGCTGCTTTTCCAAATGGGAATGTGGTGATGAGCACTGCACATTCTTTTCAGGTCGCTGGTGAGAATTTTGTAGGGCTATGACCTTTGCTGGTCCCTCCAGGTGCTGCTGAAATGTTTTAAGTACTTAGTAAGTTTGAAGAACTTGTGACAGGTGTGAAACGTCATTGAACCGCTGTCATGCTGTTGTGTCTTTTCACTCCTAACCTACAGTTATGTGTGCAGTATTCACTTTTTAAAAGCTCACTTTTTAATATGAAAGTTGTACTGATAAAAGCTAGTATTTTGGGGTCTTATTTCCAGCTAATATCAACTATTTGATATTTGATGAATTTTATTTCTAGGATGAGAGATTTTTGTTTATAGGTGAGATGGTGTGAAATGAGGAAAAGTGTCAGACAAAAATGGTTACCTGCTAGGAGGGTAAAAGTTTAATATGTGTCTTGCGAGTGAGGGGGAAGTGAAGGTGGGTACTGAAATAGTTTTAAAACTGTATTTAGTTTCACGATTTTATTTTCTTTTTTAAATTTTCTAGCACTGGGAAGTCTAAACTTTGATCTACTGCAATGGACATCTGTTTTTCCTTCCTTCTAACAGGTCGTGACAATGCATGTGAGAAGACATCATACATGTTCCTGCGGAAGGAACTCCCTGTGCGACTGGCAAACACCATGAGAGAAGTCAATTTGTTACCTGAAAACTTACTTAACAGGCCTTCAGTTGGGCTAGTACAGAGCTGGTAAGTTTAGGAAAAGTGCATTGAAAAATGATTGTGAAACTAACACTGTGTGTTGCTCTGCTTGCAAAACAGAGTTCTGAATCGGTCAGTTTTCTGCCTTGAATTGTTGATAGTGCGTGTGTCTTGTCAAATGAAGTTTCATTTTCTTCTGTCTAATGTTAAGTAAATACTCTAATATGGATCTTAGATAACAATTTGTGAGTTAGTCTTGTAAGTCAATAAAAGCATACTCTTGTCTCCCAGGTAATGAGACTGAATGAATAACTTGAAGAGCAAGCTTTTTAAACATTCCTTACTGTATTGCACTCTTGACTTCTTGAAATAGCTCCTTCTTTCTCCTTATTCTTTCTCTGTCAAAAATGCTGAGGGAAAATTTAAACCTTCTTCTCATTGCTAAATCTTTAAAAACATAACCTGGTATTCAGTGGAAGTTATGGAATGGGTCAAAAATCTGATGTCATCCAGTCAACAACATTCTCTGTAGTAGTAACTAGTGTAGGTCCGAAGTGATTCAAAGTCCTGTCATCTTTTCCACAACAATTAATTCCTAGCCTCCTTACATGTTCAATGAGGATTGGAGAGACTCCTGCTTTGTATGTACTAAACTCTAAAAAACTGTTGTTCATGGGTATTTATAGTTTCTTTGTCTACAAATACTTGATCCAGAGAATTTATGTAAAAATGTCTTTGCAGTATACAACAAACTTCCCTTTGTGAATAGCAGCTTATTCTACTATAACAGCAGCTAATGTAGCTTGTGTTAAATTCAATCACAGCCCTTGAGCCAAGAACTTCCATGCTGGCTGTACATTGACTACTGGGTTGGGTTTCTTATTTATCAAGCTTCAGACTTAGAAAATATAAATTAGGATATGTGGTATTGTGTTTGTCTGTGAAAGGTAATACTATCTGTCTGGATGACCACTTCAAAAACAGAGATTAAGTGCTTCAAATGAGTGTAAATGCTCTGGAGCCACACAATAACAATCACTTTGTGGTTAAGTGGCAGCTTGCAAGGTTTGAAGCCTTTTATCATCTTCCTGATGTCACTGGCAGTTGTTATGCCAAATAGGAAAGAATGGATAATATGTAGGCTTTCTGGGCTTTTCTGATCTGGATGGCTTGTGAAGCTGTCTTTAGTGAAATGTTGACAGACAGGTGAATGAAGAAGAGGAAATAATTTCTCTGTAGTGATTCTACTGCATAATTCTTCTAGTCCAAATATCTGTGCTGTGGCATAAGCTTTTGCCTTGCTAATGCAGAGCCAAAGAACCTTTGGATCACTTCTGGCAAAGGAACTGAATGGCTTTTTGGAGTAGATGCCCCTTTCAGAATTTTTGTCTAAGAGGTTTGAGAACTCATGGATTGACTTCTATGGCCACAGTACATACTACTGATTAAAAAAGGAAAAAGAAGAAGGAGGAAAACCCCAGTATCGAGTTCTATGATAATGTGATTTGCACTATCGCAGCTGTAGACCAGTAGTTAATTAAATGGGCTAAAATATCTGACCCAGAGATGGAAGCTTGAAATGAAAATGTTTTCCATAATGACCTAATTTGGATCCATAGTTAACTAATAGTTTTTGTTGAAGGGAGTATATTCACTGAGATGATGGAAGAATATTTTTGTGATCTTATGTCAGAATTAACAAAAGTAGTTGTAGCATTTTTTTTTCCTGATGTGGACTTCAAAGACCATAGTTCTTATTCTTCTACTCAGAGGTTTTTAATTGCTTTATTAAACATTTATGTGTAGTTTGTAAGTCCAGGTGATGAACCTTGCTCAAAATTTCCTTTAAGTTTTATTTTGGTCTTTATAGAAGCGAAATAGTTTTACAAACTTCAGTGTGAGTGACCTTGAGTGTTATGCAGCTATGCTGATGGCAGGTTTTGAAATGTGTTTATAGATTCTTAACCTAAAACTTAGACATACTGAGAGAGATTCCTCTTTTTATGCAACAGAGTAATATAAATATAAATTTAGCTGTTCAGCTGTTTTGTGAACTTGTAAAATGAAAAATCCTTGTCTTGATGCACTTCAAAAACACTTCAGATCAGATTTCATGATCCTTTGTTTTGGCTGCTCCATAGGTTGAGGAAGCTTGGCAGTTCATTAATATGCAAACAAAATATGATGTACACTTGCCACAAGTGAGCAAGGACATTTAATGCATTCACTTTGATGTTTTTATTTGCTAATTTTCAGTAATTCATGTAGTCACAAGCATATTTATGATTTATTTCTAAAACTAGAAGTCTTGTTTATGTGCTTTTGGTGAGACTCCAAATAAACTGAAGCTTTAAAATTTGAGTTCCCAATCTATTCCTTTATGTCAACATGCCAGAAAATAATACAAAAAGGTCCTAATCTTTAAAGTGGGTTTTATTGGACTTTTAAATTAAATAGGCTCTGTAAATGGATGGAACTTAGTTTCGGTGGAATCAGAAAGCAAGTAAACCTGCCGGCAGTACAGCACGGGTTCTTTCTCATCAATCCTCTGTCCATCCAGGCATCAAACATTCTGGATTGCGTGAATTTCCTCGGCCCTTACGGTTCCCTGGGGAAGCAACCTCATTTTGTCGCTTCTGAGAATATGTCCCTGCTTGAGGCAATCCCTGTTCCCTCGGTTGGTTCTCTAATCCATCCATCTCCATGGCCGTGCTGGAGGCACTTTGCTTCCTGTGCTGAGCTCCTTGACTGCACTTCCCTGCCTAACAGATTTTGCAGCTGATTGCTTGATTGTTCCAGGAAAGGTGCGCTGTTCAGTTTTTTCTCCTTCCTTCCTGGGTTCCTCAGCCTGATGTGTGCAGCACCGAGGAGAGGCAAGTCTGCTGTCCTTCTTCTGTGCTGCTCAGTTATGCTTTCCTGAGTGGATCTGGCATTACCCAGAGAGTGAACCGTGAACAAACCAAAAATAATAGGTTTGTGTTTCAGTCGGTGTGAAGGTCAAACATGAGCTCTGTCCCAGTTTGAGTTTATAACTTTATGTGTATCTTTCATGTGGATAGCGAGGGAAGGTGTAAACTGAATCAAGACAAAAACACAGTTAATAAGTTCAGGCTGTGAACTGTGATGATTCCACATAGCAGGCAGATCAACAATCAGGCACCTTGTTGTCAGTTCTTCAAAATTAATGAGCAACTTCCTAGTTACAAAGAAGTGGGCCTTTTTTAGCCACTCTAACTAAAGTACACTGCAGGTAGGATATTGAACACACGGCACAATTATGTAATAAAGGATATGGTCACTAATGTGATGTGATGAGGGCAAATAGTTACAATTAAACCTCAGAATGGATAAGGACAGAGCTTGTAGAATATCTAAGGTAAATGTGAGGTTTGCACAATATGTTACTCAGTCATATGTAAAATTCCCATTTTATTTAACCCTGGCCTAATTTCTCTTTTTCTTTAGCATGTTTCCTTAGAAGATGCTATACATTTTCATTTCTCGCTTGGGAAAGACCCATTAGAGAAATAGGTACAGTTTGGGGATTAATAATTTTTTCTTTCTCTATTTTCTACATTGAGACTATATTAACAAGATTGTGTTACCATGGAGATTTATTTTATCTTTTTAGTGCTTTGGTGTTGGAGTGATTCTAAAGGAAAATCTCCATGAAATACGTATCAGGGAGAGAAGCATAAGTATCTTGCATGAATTAAAAAAGAAAGGAAAATCCGAAGTTGACATTATGGGCATTTACAGTGCTTTCATGTATGAAGTGTACCATTCTAAAATTACTGCAATTGGCAGGCTAACAGGAATTCAATCTACTTGGCAGTAATTAAGAGAAGAACAAGGCTAAAGGGTGCTTGAAACCAGAGAGCTTGCCCAATGAATTGTAGTGAATTGTGATAAAAAATTAAACACCAGAAAGACAATAGATTTGAAGGGCATGGGCTTTGATTTTTGCTTTTGATGACTCACTAAAGATAGCAAAATATAACTGACACTTTCTTTTTTTCATATATGATGGGATTTTTTTTTTAGGTGTATGTCCTGTATGGTTGTATTGATTTACTAATGATACAGCAAGTCATGTGTTATTCTGGTACTTTTCTCCTTTGTTCTTTCTGGCTGGTAATTGTATGTGAGTTATGGTTAAACATCACAAGGTCTTGATTTTCATTGCTTGATAAATGAAGGTGGTGACTATAGGATTTATTCCTATCTGCACCCACATTTCAAAGCAAATGCAAGGAAATAGATGGATTTTGTGAAAGGGGAATTACCTTTTCCACACACTGTTACAGGAATTAACTGTGTTGCTGACTGCTCACCTTTTGACAGAATGTAATGGTGATGGTGATGAAGACAATGTTGTGAATTACTTAGAGCTAACCAGAGCCATGATTTTCTTTTAAACATATTTTTGCTTCATTTCTTTAATTTTGATGTGTATGGGAGGGAGTGTGGATTTGGTGTACAAACAGGAGATCACACCTGCATAAAAGAAAAAGACGTACAACATTTGCAGCTCCGAGTTTCGGTTCAGAGACTTGAGGTAACACATGAGGTGTTACAATATCCCAGGCTGGGTGACGTATAGTGGTAGGCATTGGGCAGTGGGTTAGATTGGTTTGACATAAGGTTACCTTTTCCCAGCTTTGTTTAGTCAAGGACTTGGAAGAAATATGAGTAACTTAGGTTTGAAGTGAACCTCTTCTCTGAGCTGGTCCCTCTGACTTGCTGGATGCAGTGCTTTTGTTGCTGAACTCCTGAAGCAGCATTCATTTACTTTAGAATCAGAAAGAGACATCTAAGTGTTGTTGATAACCCTAAAAGAAAAGCATTGCCTGTTTCCATAGTTTCTCCATCACCACAGAGATTAAAGAGTGGTTACTTCATCACATTTATAAATTTCCTTAGAACGTTTAGTTAGTGTAATTTTCCTTTGTTTCAGAATTCCTCACTGGTGCTATGTTGAGCTTGCAGCATAGTGACCTCAGAAGGTGGTGTTTGGCTGCTGGTTGCACTGAGGAGTGGTGGCCATGTTTGACAGATTTTCTGTGCTTGAGACCTGCTTTAGTCTTTTTCTGACTGAAACTGTTTTCTGCACAATTACTTCCTGCATTAGATGAAACACTTGACTTGCCCCTGCCTGACATTCTAGTAATGCTGATCCTTCAACAAAGGAATAGTGATGGCTAATTATTCCAGGAGCTCCAGTCTTAGGACCAAAGTCCCAGTAAGCTAATAGAGAGGATGACTCTCAGCGCAACTCATAGCAGTAATGGTAGGCAACCAGTGCAGCCCACACAGCACAAAAATCAGATGTGAGCTACCCTCAGTACCAGCAGCATTCATTGTTGTTTTATCCGTGGTGTCAGCACAGGATTGATGGTGTTGGAGATTTCTGGTGGGAGGTCTGTTGTAAAACCCACCTGCTGTGTTGCTTCTCAAGTGTAGTAGTGTCCTTCAGAAACAGGACTTTGATAATATTATATGATGACAGATGGGGGTTGAAGAACATTTGCCTCTTTGGAATGAGGATGATCATAGTTTGTTCATTGTTGCACGTGGAGCAGCATAAAGGAACATGTTATAAAATAAGCAGTACTTGCAGGATCACCTAGTTGCCTAACTTGTAAGAGACAAACATTTGGAGGATTTCTGTAATCATTTGTGATGATTGAAGGAGGGCACAAATGCACTGAGGGACAGGAGCTGCTGTTACGGTGCTGACCGTGTTGACAATGTCAGTCTCCCTGGGGAATGTCAAAGTGACCTGTGGTTTTGACTTGAAATGGGAGTGGAGTAAGCAGCAGGTGGTTCTGGAGAGACTCACATAAACAACAGGGCTGTCTTAAGCTTTGCTGTAGCTTGAAGATGTAGGGTGAAGTTCAATATTCTAATGAAGCTGGTCTTAACATAGAACTGCTACCAAAAGAGCTTGTGCCTAGACCATTCTGTTGATCTGAGCTGATCTATGGGGTTGCTGCTACTGAAGGGGAAAGGCTTGGTCAGTGCTTTACTTCATCACTTGTTTTGCTGTTTCCCTGTGTAGACTCTGTGCTGTATCTTATCTCTCTTGTGCTGTACCTTTAGCTGTTTAGACCTTTCAGTGAGTTGTTTTCATGTGTGAGAGAGGTGTGTTTGGTTTCTGTATCAATCTTTTTCACCATTGGAGGGAGTTACAGTTGTTGACAGGCATATACAATTTAGTGTTGATATCGTAGCGTAAGTGGCAGTGCTTAACCAGGAGCAAAGGGAGGGCAAAAGGAGTGGAATGACAGCTCCTTCTGGTGACTTTAAACCCTACCTTTTGTATGTGTGATTGATACCTTGTGTGAGTTACTTCAAGAAACAAGTCCCAGTTCTGTAGTCTTTAAAGATACGTCTGTACTGCTAAATGAACCTACTGCAGGAGGGATACCTGGTGCTGAGGCCCAGTGACATGAGGTGGCAGCATTTATCATGCTGTTGGGCTGGTGTCCTGCAGAGCAGGCTGGCCGTGTTCATGCTGAGTGCTTCTTGGCCTTAAATCCTCCTTGGGTCCTCTGTGGTACGTCTGTGGCTTTAAGCCCTGGTTAATCTCCTGTGAGCTGACTGAACTGGAGGGAGCTGTGTTGTGTAAGGGGTTTTTATGAAACTGAGGGTTGTGTCACACGGCCTGCAGTACAGTGTGAGGAGATGTGGGAGCCTGTGGATGGGCGTGCTCTTCTGGAGAACTGTGGTAGGATCAGCTTGGTGCACTCCTGTTAGTGTGGCTTTTGGGGAGTGCTCCCTTGGGCTTTATTTTGGAAGGAAAGGTGGATCGCTCTCAGAGGAGTGTGGGAAGAAACTTAACATCTGTAAAGAGTGGATGAATGGAAGAATCAAGACCCAGGGATAAACTCAGTATCTGAAATTACAGACCAACCAGTGGAGAGGTTTTGCTCCTGTAAACTTCAGCTGGATTTATGTAGCAGTTTTCCTGAATTAGTAATTTTTCCTGAAAAAGTAATACTTTTTAACTCAATATAATATATTGTAACTGCTTTCTTTCCCTTTGTTGTAACATCCCACTTAATTTTAGCCTTTGCAGAGAACTGTGACTTATGCTTCAGTTGTTTTAGGTAACAATATAGTCTTAAAATTAAAGAAATTCAAAAGTATTTTAGGTTTAAGTATTTTAACTTTCTCATTTTTGCTTATTCCAGGTACATGCAGAGTTTCCTTGAGCTTTTAGAGTATGAAAATAAAAGTCCTGAGGATCCTCATGTTCTGGATGAGTGAGTAATTTGTTTTCTCATGACAGTCCATTTAAAATAATTTGTCTCAAATAGCAAGTGGTTTTGTACTATAGGATAACAACTACCTTATTTGTAAGGTAGTCTTTGTACAGCAAAAGTCAAAATTGTAATCTGGAGTAGTATGTAGAAATCTTTAGTGCTTTTGAACAGTATGTTTTGCATTTATGCAGTCTGGTAGTTAAAAAAAGGCAGCATAAAATGCTTCCTCCAAGGCTGTATTGAGAGGACAACACGGATGTCAGACTATACTTGTGCATCAAATACTTACGACTAAAATGTCATTTAGTATACATGGAACTTAGTTCTCTGTTATGCATAATGTAAATCAGCACATTAATAGTTATATTCAATTACTGATGTTCACCTACCCCATTGGATAACACTAGAAAGGAAAGCTTGGCCGATTCTCTTGACCAACAAAATTATATTAAAATTGCCATTATAATGTTTCCTTGAAATGTGTAAGCATAAACCAGAAAAGAACCCACATGTGAGTTCGTTCAACAGATGCAACATGTGCATCAGAGACTTGAAAACAAAACAACCAAGACACACACATGCCCAACACTAAGGTCTGTGCTTACCCTGTACTGTAGGGTAGCCAACTTCGTTTCAGGATATTACTTCTTGCAGGTTTTTTGGTCCATTAATTAGTTTTTTAGGGTAGCTTGTCTTTTAAACTTGAATTTCTTTTTAAGCTCTGAAATTTTGCCTGATCAAGCAGTGCTTTATAGACTCTAGATTTACTCTGTTTGTGCAAGGTGTGGCCTGTGCTGTGCAGAAATGGTGTTTTGCCTTTCATTAGCTACAGATACATTGACTGCCATGTTACATTAGGTTAAGTAAGGGCTTTAGTAGGTAGTGCATTTCAGATGTTACGCTCTTTTGGTTGTGGGCCTCTTATCTGAGATCTTTACGCTTTATTTTTTTTTTGGTATCAAGCAATACATTCAGGAGCTGCTCAAGCACATGAGTGCCAAGCTACCTGTGTGGCAGAACTGCAGAAGGAACCATAAAGATTATAGACTGACTGATGAATTGTAGTGCTAGTGAACAAGGGAAAGTAACGATTTTCTCAGTGGGAGTCCTAAGCTGGAATGCTGTCTTCAGTTTTGGGTATTACCTATTAAGAAATTAAAACACTCATGAACAATATTGGTATGAAAGGAACAAGAAACAGAGACTTTGGTAGTTCGACCTCTGAATAATGTTGAAGTCATTTGTTTTGGTCTGGCAGACAAAAGAGATTGAAGTGGAGACACTGGAAGTCTGTGTGCCAAAATAAAAAGGTCACTGTAATAAAGGATCATTGGTTGCTCTAACTGAAGAGCTAGAAAACTGGAAAATGGCTGATTTTTGTTAAAGTTGAGATTAGGCACAGGGCAAAAAGTAAAAACTGTAATATTAGTGAGAACAGACTGAAGGCTGTAGAGTATCTCATTTTAAAAACTTTGATGAATAGATTGGATAGATGTTCTAGTCATGCTTATTCTGTAGTGGATAAATAGATGAACTTTTTGACTGCCTCTAGCTGTTACATTTTGTGATTCTGTATTTATAGCCTGATAATTGGCTGATGATACAAGAATTTCTGTTTGTGACTGGTTTATCAGCAAGCTTTCCTTTGAGCGGGATTAAGGTACCAAAACATGGGTGTGTTCTGCCCTTTGAGGTGGCATTAAGCTGTCCTAGGCATCTAAGCAAGCCTGGCAAATGTAACGTAGGTCCTCTTAAGCCCATAATGTCCTGAATGTGCAGGTTGAGGCAAAGTGGTTATGTTGCTTCTGAAACCATCTTAGGTGTTCTGCAGTTAAATAACTGAATTTCAGCTTTTTTGGACTTCACGGGTTCAAGGTAGATCACAACACATATGTTGCTTATCAAGGTTAATGAGTAGCTCTCTTGGAGATCTATTTTTAGAGTCTGTTCACAATTATCACATGAATTATCTGATTCTGCCATATGGATGTGGCATTCTTGATACTGTTTCATGGCAACTGGAAATATTGTTTGCAATGCTCTATATTAGCATGAAAGAACAAATATTTCATAATGAACCAAATATTTACACATTCAGTATAAATGCTTCTTAAAAGCTTTGAAATCTTGCAGTTCTTTGTAATTAAGTACATATAATGAGGATGCTAGGAATTTATTGCTACCAATTGGGGTGAAGTCCAGATAGGGACTTTGACAGTAAGAGTTGTCTTTTGTACTGAATTTGGCCTGTGAAAAGAGATGAAAAATGCATTATCTGATTAAAGAGCAGATTTATTCTTTTTGAGAGTATTGGATAGGTTGCCTAAGATTAGAAAGCTAGATTTACATTCCTGCTCTTGGCATGTCAGCTCTTCCAAACTTTCTAAAGGCTATGCCATTTAACTGGATATTGAGCTGTAATTAGCAATTTTAAAATATTCTTTGCAAACTGTGTCTTTCAGAAATACTCTTAACTATATCCTTATTTATCTTGTAATAACCCACAGATAAATCTAACAGATCTCTCAACTCGGTGTCAGTATTCCATGTTGCTGCTGTCTAGCCCTATCCTACTTTTGTATTATGGTCAGAAGAGTATCAGTATGCTCAGAAAGTATCAGGAACACAAGCAGTTAATGGGCTTCTTTTCAGTGGGGAAAGAACTCATCCCTGAGTTCATTTAGTTTACAGAAAAGTTTACTGTTCTTTTGTAATGGCATGTATCATTTCATACAAAATTTGAGCCGTTATCTGGGACTTTGTGGTAGTGTCTTTAGAGATGCATAAATAGAAATAGTTCTTCAACCCCAATGGTTTGCTCAAAGAAAAACCTGGGAGTTTATAAGGTATGCCTGGTCCCTTGAAACAAAGGCCTTCTTGTCTGGGCAGTATCTGCAGTGTATCTGTGAGTACCTTGCATGTGTAGCCTGTAAGGAGGGGCTGGAGCAGCCTTCATCTCTGGGTTCCTCTCAGCTGTGCTGTTCCTGCATGGAGCACATTTTACATATTAATGTTATGTATTATATGGCTCATATTACAGAAGACCCAGCCTTGCATCCTTTGGTCATTCAATGCCCATCCTTGTTAGAGTCCTGTGTGCTATCAAATGACTTTGGCATTTCATGATGGAGCCCATCTCTTCCTTTAGCTTAATTAGTGTCGCAAGATGTGAGTCTTGCCTGGGTGGAAGTAATTCTGTTCCTGTACCGCCTCAGCAGCTTTGTTTTGGAACTGAAGGTGGTGTCCACCTCAAGCACTCAAAGCATGAAGACTAACAGAGCAGCTGATTTTGGAAATTAGTGCCTTGGTGGTCTTTTTGTCAGCTGAGGTGGACTTAATTTCTGTCATAGTTGATCGGGGTAACAGTAGCAGAGGAGAGAAGGGGAGCTAAAATGATCTAAGAGGTTGGATATCCACAGATGTGCTGTATCAGTGTTGGCAGTAGTTCGTCAGCTAATACTTTCTAAAATGGTGCAGTGCCTTTATCAGTTGAACATAAAACTGTCCCCTGATTTTTGTGTTATTTCTCTGTCTGGGGAGTCTGCTCTGGTATTCTCAGAATTTGGGCTCTCTTTCTGAGGAAACCATTTTATCTGTTAGTATTACAGTATTATAGATGTTATCCATGTAGTGGCACAACTGTCTGGGAAGCCATGCAGTGAAGTGAATTGGGAAATTGATCTAGTGGAAAAATAGCCCCCTTTTAGCCCTGTGGTCCCTAAACCATTACAGTGTGTGGCCAACAGAGACAGACAGCAGTGCCCATTCAGTGGAGAGGGTGAGCGGGTACAGGAGTAAGTGCAGAGACTAAACTAAAGTTGTTGTTCTTCAGTGATCCATTTTTTTTACCTCAGCTCTTAGTGTATGAACTGGAGGGCAGATGCATGTTCATGAGTGTTACTTTTTTTGTGAATGTTAGATAAAATGCTTTGAAGGGATTTTTGTCCCGGCATTTCCTTTATGAAGAGGTTCCAAGGTGTTTGAGTTTCTGTTACGTTCTGTTGGTCAGCAGAGCTTATGGAGATGTATTGCGACATCTCCACATCACTGTCACGGTCAGTATTGTGGGCATATGCCAAATGGTAGCTTACTTTGCATTTTTGATAGCACAAATATGTTTTCTCAAGCTGTAGAGTGGTCAGGTGGAAGTTTTTCCACAGTTCTGTCAAACAGTGTGATAGCAGAAGTGCAGAGAGATAAGGTGTCCACTCTTGGTGAAGGGTGTAAGCTGGCAGAAGTGTTGGAAATGTCCAAGTTGTCAATATGCATCTGTATAAACACACAGGTGGAGGCTGCTTTTCAAAAATTGAAGAGTTTGTAAAACATGCAGTGCACATGTGCTTTCAAGGACCACTTAACTCCAGCCTCTACACCCTCGAGTTTCCTTGCTGTTTTCTCCCTTTGTGGCCCTGTCATGGGAGGGTGTGTGGGGAGTGTCCCGGGGCTGAGAAGCTGAGTCAATGAGCTGCCAGTACTTCTAGAGATAACACACAGAGGAAACTTAGTAAACAAGGAACTTTCCTTTCTGCAATGTTGCAATTAAAGCAGAGATTCTGTAAGCAATTTGAACTAAGTAAATATTGGAGTATATTGCATTAGAAGCTGCCACTTTGTTACTTTTAAGTAAATGCTACTTCAGTTAGTTTTGCACTTCGAAGCAAGTAGACCTCCTACTACAGAAGCCTGTCGGTGTGTGAACTTTTACCTCTCTTTGTGGTAATACTCAGCTACCAACTAGCACTGCTTTAAAAAGAACAGCCAATCAAAAAAAAAAAACCAAAAACACAAACCAACAAACAACAAAAAACCCCAAACCCATTGCATATCTGTTCCATTTAAAAGGGTTTTTACTCATCACTTTCTTGTTTTTCATCTATCACATAATACCATCCCTAAGAGACATTGCAAAAATTCCCCTTGTCTTTATATTGACTTTCTCATGCTTCTTGTCTTGCACTGTATGATAGATCAAAATACAACAATACATAAAGTCTTTAGGAAAGTAAATAATAACTTGTGTTGTGACATTCATTTATTGTCTTTGCAGAAGTCTCTAGGCTTCCTTTATTTAACAGCTGTGGTAATGCTTTAAATATTCTTCTGTTAATACAGAAGCAACTGAAACTCACTTAACTAAAACAGCTTCATATGAATAATTTCTCATTTGTCAAACCAACTGCATTATTTATTCACTTGATTTTTGAAAATAAAATACAGAGAATTGCAGAAAAAAAAAAGTAATGGGTAAATAAAATTTTTGGAGCTATTCTGGAGTATTCCCAGCTAATCCCATGAGCATTTTAAAAATTCCTTCATATGGTTTCCCACAATTTGAATACAGTAAAAACTTTGTGTCTTTCAGGGGTGTGGAGGGCAGAGGGAATGAGGAATGAGTGCTAAGGTTAAGGAAGCGTGTTTTGATTTCTGCCCTGCCACTTTGAAATGTGCCCGTGTGCTTCTTGTGTTTGGTCCTTTAAAAGCATCTGCTTGATGGGAACACAGGAGTGAGCTGAGTTATCTTTGAAGATGGAACAGGAGGTTTGCTATGTCACTGAAATAATGAGGAATTCTTTATTGTTTATTTGTGTGCTGACTAAGCTTCAGCTGTGATTTTGCTGGTCTGTAGCAGATAAACCTCCCAGCCCTTTGCCCTTTGTTGTACTCTGTGCATTCAGGCACTTTGGTAGCAGGATATCAGTGAACAATTTGCCCTCGTGGCATCATGAATATGTTGTGGATAGTGGAGGTATTTAAAAACAAATGGCAGAGCAAATAGTAGAGAGTGTTGCTGCTTGTTTTTCAGACCTGACTGTAAGTGTTGCTTTCAACTCTGCTCTTGGGTACTGTCTTGTTGCTCGGAAACAGAGAAGCAGCACGAGTACAGCCAGGCACCAGTCTCTAACGTCAGCTCTCAGTGGTAACAGATCACACAGAATCAAGACTTAATAAACATAAAAAGCATCAAAAGCAATAAAATATTTTAAGCTGCCCAGGCAGCAAGCTCGTTAAGAGAAGAGTCAGTCTATACCATGATAGTATTTAGATTGGGGAATTAGACAGTTAAAGCTTCTCCTTTTCTGTGCAACAGAAGAGTGTTGAAAGACTACTAAACTGTTTGTTGACACATAGGCAAAAACTGGTGGTTAGACTGAGGAGAATGAGAAAAAACTATTAAAAATGAAACTACATTCCTTTCCAGCTGGCAGCGTAGAGTGGGAGAAACAATTTTCAAAGTGTATCGCTTGTTAAGAATGGTATGGTGTACTGTCAAATGATTGCCTTGGCCAAGTGGTGCTGAAAAGGAAAAAAGTGTCTGGTTTAAATTTGGTGACTAATGGTTAGTATTTTGACTTTTGGTGGGCTTTGTTCTTTCCTCTGCTCATTTGCAGGGGGGTTAGACTAGATGACCTTTCAATGATTTCTATGGTTCTTTCCTTAGCTGGTGTATATTCCACTTTTGATAAAAATAATGAATACATTTCTTTTCAGTGGTCATTCTAAATCTACCAAGGATGTTTTGCTGTTGATGTTTTTTGAAAAAGGAGCATTAGAATTGCAGATGTAGGCATAACTGAATCTCCCAGCTCTGCTTTCTTTGGAAAGCTTCATTTCACCTTGTATACTTTTTTAAACAACATCATGTAATCACTGTAATGTTAATGTTAATTTAATATTAGAGAATGTAGCAGAGTTGAGTTGTACTGATTTTTCCATGTGTTGGCTTTAGAAAACCCATTAATAATTGGTATTTCAAGTATATATGAGTCTGCATGTGGGGGGGAAAAAAAGATGAACACTTTGAAGACCAGAGGTGTACCTTGACAGGAGAAACAAAAATCCTTCAAAGTAAACGCTTGCTAAAGCAATGGAAGTGTTATCCTGTAAATTACCGAGCTACCAGAGTAGAGCTGGTCAGAGCTCGGTTGTATTCGCGCTGCCATCCAGCGGTGTGAGAGGAAACTGAGCAGGAGTCGCACAGTTACCTGTCCTGAGATTCAAACTTAGCAAAAGAGTTACCAGGTGGAGGAAGTGCATTCCAAGTTCACTGCACGGTTGAGGTGTTAGGAATTAAAACTGGATTTTTGTTAGGAATTATGAAGGACAGTTGGGTTGTTTTTACTGAGTTTCCTTTCCAATCTCCCAGCTTCTGTTAGAAGTTGCAGGGAGTGACAGTTACCTCAGTGAACATGATTGCAGTAAAAGAAAATATTTTGTTGTCCATTAATGGTGAAGAAAGATTTAATTTGAAAGAATGTTTATGGGAGGAGTAACTTAATTTGAGACCTTAAATGCTTCACAGATGCTGTGAGAAGTTACTCAAATACTTCTCTTTGAATAGACTTGTTTAGGTACTGCTGTATTTTTGTCTTCTCTCTCTGATAATTTTTTGGTTGACTGGGAGGCATAGTAAATAGATAAAATGATTGTGCTGTGGTTGAGTTTAAAAAAAAAAAAAAAGAGAAAGATTGAGTTTAATTAACAATCTGTTTTTAATTTTCTTTCCTCCAGCTTCTTAGATGTTTTAATTAAAGTCAGAAACAGGCACAATGATGTGGTTCCAACCATGGCGCAAGGGGTGATTGAATACAAGGAAAAATATGGCTTTGATCCATTTGTTAGCAGTAACATCCAGTATTTTCTAGATAGATTCTACACCAACCGCATCTCTTTCCGCATGCTTATTAACCAACACAGTAAGTAATTGCTTTTCTCTCCTTTGAAAACTCATTAGTTATTGCTTGTGAACCTGAAGCTATAGCTTTGTTTTGTTCTGGGTTTTTTTCTTACTCATGACTAATTCTTAATATTCTGTGCAAATTTTGGTAAAATATATACTGGCAAATGTTAGCTTTGGTATTTTGCAGTGATCAGAAGTGAACCCAAAACACCAGTACATTTTCTTTTGGACTTGTCAATCTTTGTCAGTGTGACTGTCGCTTTTTAGTCTTGTTGGTAGAGATGGCTTGTGTATTGATACTTGAAGTACTTTGAGATAGTTGTAGAGTAGCTGTATCCTTCTTCTCACAAATCTTGCAACATAGTTTGTAGAGCTGCTATTTATTTCCTAATGAAATGCAAAGATACCATAAATTTTGAATAGGTTATATAATATATGTATTTTTATGGTTTTTTTTTCAGCAAGTTATCTAGACTTTTCTTGTAAATGAGTTGAGTATTTCTAACTTAAGGTTTTAAACTATATCCCTTGTCTTCCCTTCCTGTTTCCTATTTATGGATAAATGCTGGAATTAGTCATCCTTTGTCATTAGGTTCTGTTTTCATTTGTTGTTACTAATAAACTTACTTTTTTATATTCATATTACAGAGTGAAAGGAGTTACTTGCACAGCTCTTATTAACCAGTATGTGCAACCATGCAGAAAGTGATCTGTATAAGTTAAGGACAGTCTTGTGATCTCTTTTAGTGTGTCTTGTGCTTTTTAGCTCCTAGAGCTTCATTCTCTGCTCAGTATCCTGCTTTTATGAACTCTTAGCAATTGTTGTACACTGCAGATAATGTGACCACTGGAATATTTAGTATAAGATGTTTTACTACAAGTTGTGTGTGTTTCCAGTAACCTTTTATGTGACTAACAAGTGCCTTACTGTGTGTGTACAGATAACTTGAATGTGGCAAAGCATACAAAATCAGATAAATGTGCAACTTTTTCTTTACTTGTACCTGAGCAGACAAATGACAGACATAAAACCAAGTTAAAAGGCTCTTGTAGAAGAGTTCCAACAATAGAGTAAAAACATCGTCCTAATAGAATTCTTGGGCTGAGCGCTAATGATTTGCACTAATTCTAAAATACTAAATTTGCTTCATTGAACTGAACTAGGTTTTCCTATGGACCCTTTTAATTAACTGGTTGAAGCCTAAAACTGCTTGTAGATGCTTAAAAAGTTTAGTTAACCTTGTATAATGTTTCTGTGTTAGCAATGTTAGTAATCTGTCCAGGATGGCAAATATTAATCTTGAAGTACTGAAAGAAAAGACAATTAGAAAGCAGAACTCAAAACAAGTTTTTATGTAGTTTGTATTTCTGTTCCCCATGTTACTGGCCAGCTGTCCCTGACAGTGTGTTCTGCTGGGTGCAGTGGCCGCTGTCTGAGCTCACCGTGACCAGGACAGGAAAAGTTTTCAGATCTAGTCTCTTGCTCATGTCTTACTGCACCCCCTTCATGTCAGAGCTCACTAAATTGCTAAAATAACAATTTCACTCCTGAAATAAAGCGTGAAACCTCCCTACTTCTTTGAGAGTTAAACTCTCAGTGAAGGGTATGGTGAGGGCCAGACCTTTGTGCAAAGAGGGAGTGGGATCATGTTGCTGAGAGCCAGGGAAAAAACTGAGTGAGCGAGGGAGACCTCTGTGCCAGCTGTGAAATTGCAGTTTAGGTGAGTGTAAAAGGCTTTTAATGATGTCTCAGTTCCTCACTCCTTTTTACCATAATATTTTCATTGTTGTGAGTGCTTCTGTTCTGACATAATGGTATGAATGAAGCATTTTACGTTTTAGTTTAATCTAATTTTTGATAGTCTGCTTTGAAATGTAGGCTTTCACTTTAACTCACCCATATCACTAATTCTGTTTTAACTAGTCTTAGCTATAAAAAATAATTTAAAAATGGGGGGCAGGGAAGAGGAAGAATTAGGCAAGTAGTTGTCTTAAACAAGGATTCTGGCAATTTGCTAGAGTATGTTTTTACAAAATGATGCATTATCCAGTAAGTCTCAGATACTATCAGATTTAAACTTTCAGTGCTGCCTCAAGTTTAATAGACAATTTATTGCTATTTCTTTTTTCTTTTAGCACTTCTTTTTGGTGGAGATATTAATCCTGCTCATCCCAAACATATTGGAAGTATTGATCCTAATTGTGATGTGGCAGAGGTGGTTAAAGGTAAGGTGAAGTTAATGTTTTTGTTGACTGAATCCCACTCCCCAACTTAGAATATTCAGAAATATGTTATTGAGATACAAGAGACTGAAGGTGATTTAAATTCATTTAATAAAATAAAAAAAGAAGAAATGGAAGTTCTGAAGTTGCTCACATTAAAGCCATGGGCTTATTGAGACTTTCTTGATGTCTGCTTTATTGAGAATAGAGGAACTTCTGTTATGTTAACGGAACCAAGAGAACAATTTGATTTTTAATAGCTTTGATCCAGCCTTTCAAATATCAGATGAAGTGTGTAAGTGTTTTGTTAAACTTCAGATGTTTCCTGAAATACTTAGAAGCAGGTTCTCATGTAGTGCTGTTGTATCTGACTGGTACTGCAGCAAACTGGGAGTAATTTCTGATTTGTTTAGTTAGGTCTTTCAGTAGAATGTCCTTGGGTGTACAGATATTCCAGTGAAACTCCCCATCACTCTGTGCACCGGATCATACCACAGGCTGTTCTCTCTTACACAGCAGGCATGGGTGTGATGGGTGTAGCCGAGTGATCTGGCACAGACACACTGGAAATCCCGTTTGCTTAATGCTGTGAATGTTCATATGGTTTCAGAATGTTAATGAGTAGGCATGAGGCAGTGCTGGCTGCTTCAAGAACTTGGTCATGGAAGCTTCACACTCTGAGTGTATCTATTTACAAATACAGGTTTTGCTGTAGGGAAGAATTCCATGCTCTATCCTTGGCTGCTGTTTGTGTAGCTGCAAAAGGGGGAAGAGTTTATTGCTCCCCTTCACTTTCTCTCCAGCCTTTGGTGAAGTAAGAGGGAAACCTTTCTTTTGCCTGCATGATACCTCACTTAGTAATGATTTTTACAGCTCTTACAGCTTTTTCTACCTCTTTTGGGCTCCTAAAGTGGCCTTTTTCAGCAGCTTTCTTTTCTTTTGATTGACCTTACTACACTTCAGCCTCAGCATTGTATATGTTAGTCATGTTGATTATTTAGATTTTCCTTCCAGTGGCAATATTTGTATCAATGTTCGTATCAAATTCATAGTTGCTGCCTTGGACAGAGGAGTGCACAGTGTGAGAAAAAACTATGTCCAGTTTTCAAGCAAGTAGCTAAAATAGGTCTTAGACAACAGTAACAAAACAAGGGCACCTGTCGATGTACTTCTGAAGAGCTGCTCAGCCCTCTGGGGTATCGGCCACTCCTCCCAGCTTTGTGTCATCAGCAGCTTGCTGAGGAGGCCTCTGCCCCTTCATCCAAGTCACTGGTGGATAAAGTTAAACAATATTGGGCCCAGTATTATGGAGTCAGAGAATAGTAAAGGTTGGAAGAGACATTTAAGATCATCCGATCCAACCATCAGCCCAGCACCACTGCATCCCCTAAATTACTAAACCATCACCCATGCCGGATCCAGATGTCTCTTAAACACGTCCCTGGGCAACCTATTACAGTATCTGACCACTCTAACAGTGAAAATTCTTTTTCTGGTACCTAATTTAAATCTCCCCTGTCTCAGCTTAAGGTCATTGCCTCTTGTCCTCTCACTGCATGCCTTGGGTGACATCACTAGTGGCAAAACTTTCTTGCTGTATTTCAACAACCTGATTTGGATTATGGGGAGGTATCTGCAGGGGAGTTCTTTTTGGTTCAGTAGGAAAGAAAGAAAGAAAAATCTTAAAGATTCCAGCTTTCCCCCCATGTGACCTTGAAAATTAAGTATTGTAAACAGTATTGTGTTTGGAAAAACTGAATTTGTGGTTGCAATGTCATCTTTTTTTATTTGAGATGGAAAGAACAAGTATTGAGTTGTGATCAGGAAATAACAAATAAGTAGATATTATGGTCAACCTAAGATTGTACCCTTCTGGTTTTCAAACCCTGAACAAAGATGAAAAATAACTTGTCTCCAGTACTGTGCTTTTGTTTGAGAGCTTTAAATAGATTTTGCCCTTTCTTGGCAAATGGGCTACAATCTCACAGGCAAAAAGGGATCAGACTGGATACCAGCTTCACACTTGTAAACTAGTTCCCAAAATGAGTGTTCTGCTTTTAGTCTGTCACAGAGAAGGCAAACACTGCTGGTCATCTCTAGAAGATTTTGATAAGTTAGTGTTTGTTGTGTTATTTCGTAGATGCTTATGAAACAGCTAAGATGTTATGTGAGCAGTACTACACGGTGGCACCTGATCTGGAAGTTGAAGAATTCAATGGTAATTATGAAACTAATTTAAGAGCACTCCTTGCTATTGTCTGTGATTTCTTGTTTTGTTAATTAACTGTAAGTCAGAATTTGAACTCTGCAGTCCTGCATGCAGATACTTTTCTTCTAATTTGTCTACGTGGGCACCTGGATTATAGTTTATCATCATGGCATGTACTTCTTTATGCTGAATTCACTATCACTTTAAAGAAAATAAAATGGTCAAGAATCCTCATAACTGTACAGGAAACCAGCCTGCCTTTTAACTAATCTTCTAATGGAGCTGGAACGTATTTCATTGTGAAGTATGCTTATAAACTGATGAATTCCACTGGCATTTTCTGCCCCAGTGGTGAGCTCTTTTCTGTAAGATGGCAAAATTAACCATTTTTTTAAGTCATGTGTGCTTTAAATCCTATCATAAACTTCTCACATGAAAATATGCTTCAAGATGATTATAAAGATGAAAATCAGATGATAGAAATTGATTAGACAGGCCTTATCAGTGTATTGACTGCTTTTTGTTCATAATTTCTGTTGACAAAAGGTAGCTCATTGTTTTAAGTTGAAAAAATTAATTTTCTTGAGTGATCCTCTCCCAAGATTTTGGACAGCTGCCAATCATAAGACTAAGATGTTTCCAAACTTCAGCAGAAGAATTGCATGTTATTCCTGTAAAGAGCAATGCTACAAAATACTGTTTGGGGAAAAAATAAATAATTTGACATTTTTATTTCTTTTCTTTCTTATTTTAGCTAAAGCTCCAAACAAGCCTATTCAAGTAGTCTATGTACCTTCTCATTTGTTTCATATGTTATTTGAATTATTCAAGGTAGGTTGTTCTTGTTCATATTTGGAAGGGTTTTGTGAACTTATTACTGTTGAAATTGAGATTGCTTTCAGTTATAACTCTTAAATGTTATTTCAGGTTTTTTCCTTTCTTAACCTTATTCTTAAGTTTCAAACACTCTTCACTTGTTAAAAAGCCAGAGTTAAACTCTCTTTTATTCTCTTGTGTACTGAAAAAAGTCTATTTTCCCATTTTTCCTTTTGTGCCTTTGCAGCTGATTAACTTAAACACTCGTGATGGTCTTTTTTTGCAGTGATGAAGGTATTCATAACCTTGCAATTTTCATGAGCTTGCTTCTGTATTGCATATTAGAGGGCTGGTTAGGATCAGTCTTCTTATTGTGAAAACAGCCCCTATGTCTTTGAATAGTGTAAATGATGTGCTCTGCTTTGGTTTTATTTGTGTTCTGTGAATAATTAGAACAACAGTGAAAATGGAACTTGTGAGAGCTGTTCCATGGTTTGAAAGAAGATGGATCTCTAGGTGGTGCAATTGAGCACTAGAAACTGAGGGGAAAACAGGCATTTGGTCAGAGAGAAACTTTTTCTAAATACTGGTGTTTTGGGGAGTTGATTTTGGACGTTTGTTATGTATGTTCATTTAAATCTTCGCCTGTTTTGTCATTTGTAACATTAGTTCTAGGGCAAAAAAAAGATGACAGTTTGTACACTACATGTAACTATGTTTTGGTACAAGTCATGAAAGAGGATGAAACTACTAAGTTAAAACTGTCAGTAATCTGTCAGGGACTGGCAGTGGGAACTCCATTAAAATATATGATGAAGTATCCCTTGGATATAATTACTTGATTTCACACGGAAAAAAACCCCTTGCTTTCTGTTCTCTGACTATATCAAATAGAAAAAAGTTATGTAGAGTAAGTTGTAATGTAAAAATTTAACTGGACAATTCACTGATTTGACAGCACTTCTTAAATTTGTGTTAAATACAGCCTTTTGTGTCTTGTATACAATTGTAGGACAAATTATCTGGATTCAACAGAATAAATGCAAGTTCTAAGTTGTCACAAATAGTATATATGGTAAAGTTAGGATCAAAGAGACTGTTTTTTCTCTTATCTTCAGAATTCAATGAGAGCTATAGTTGAGTGGCATGAAGGTAAGAAAGAAGCCTATCCATCGATCAAAACCTTAGTCACTCTGGGGAAAGAAGATCTATCTATTAAGGTAAATGTTTAAAAATAATATGCAACTTAGAAACCTTAGAGTAGTATGACTTGTAATTTGAAAAGGTAGATTAGTTGCTGTACCACTTGCTTCTTATTCATTAGAATAGAATATTTTCAGTTGGGAAGGACCTATAAGGAACATCTAGTCCAACAGCCTGACCACTTCAGGGCTGCCCAAAAGTTAGAGCACATTGCTAAGGGCGTTGTCCAAATGCCTCTTGGTCACTGACAGGCTTGGGGCATTGACCACCTCTCCAGGAAGCCTGTTTCAGGCTTTGACCACCCTCTTGGTGAAGAAATGCTTCTTAATGTCCAGTCTAGACTTCCCCTGATGATGCAACTTTGAACTGTTCCCACGTCCCACCACTGGAACCCAGGGAGATGAGATCAGCACCTCTCCCTCCACTTCACCTTCTCAGGAATCTGCAGAGAGCAACGAGGTCACCCTCAGCCTCCTTTGCTTCAAACCAAACAGCCCCAAATCCCTCAATGCTCCTCTAATGTTTCTAAAGTAATTTAGTTTATGCTGCTTGACTTTTTGTGGGGTTTTTTGTTGTTGTTTTTTGTTTGTTTGTTTGTTTTCCCCCAGAACATAATGTTTAAAACTCTTGAATTTTCATTCCTTAGATAAGTGACAAAGGTGGAGGTGTTCCTCTAAGAAAAATAGACAGATTGTTTAACTACATGTACTCAACAGCACCCAGGCCTAGTTTGGAGCCCTCGAGAGCTGTGCCTTTGGTAAGCAATTGCAATATGTGTTTAAATGTCCCTTTGCACTACTCTGCTTTTACATTTCCCTTCACTGCAATTCACTGGATCAGGTTTTTCATCGAAGAACTCCTTTATCATTAACAAGGCTATGCAGGTAAAATAGGAGAAAATGGGCTCTGTTACCACTTACTCTGTGGAATAGAAAATTACTTTTCTTTGTCTTGACATTGCATTCTTGGAAACAAGCAGGTCTGCATAAACACAGTATTTTCACGAGTTAATGGGAAGGATCTTTAGTGTTTTATTATTGAGAAGGTGATAACCTAATGAGCTCCTCTTTGGTGTGTAAATTACTGTTTATCTAAGTTACCTATAATAAATGTATTGAAAAGGTGAGCACACTGTCAGAATTAGCACTTGAGAGACACCTCCTGGCAATGCACAAGCTTATATTGAAGCTAGAAAATAATTTTTATGTAAGTCATGGACTGTAAAAACACAAGTTTAAAACAACATTTCCAAACCTACGTGTGATATGAACACTTTAGGTATATTCCAGTTCAGTTGGAAATATCTTGTGTGATGTTCCTTTCTGAGATGTGTCAGGGCCAGATTTCACACACAAAAAAATCTCCCCATAGTTTCTTTTAGTCAGGGAATTATTTCAGTGTTGAATGTGTAGATTCTTTTAGCAAGTATGATTTTTAAAAATCGTTATTAAAATAAAATACTATTTCTGAATTGTTTTATTAAATTATGTAATGGCTCATTGTAATAAAAATTATATAGCTACTGTTCAATTTGACTGGCTTTCAGTAAGTGGATTAATACAAATACTGTATTCTTGCCTCTTCTCATCTTTGTTCTCTGTTGCCTCTGTTGCAATCCTTTAAGCACATTGAGAAGTTGATTCTTTGAGGAATTTCTTTCCCTGCTTAGGAACATTCTCATCTAGCATATTCTTAAGTGATTTTTTTTTTCCTGCTGATACTTCTGTGCTTGAAGTGCCTTCAGACAGATAATAAACTGTGGACAGAGTATAGAACCATAGAATCATTAAGGTTGGAAAAGACCTCCCAAGATCCAGTCCAACCTTGAACCAAACACCACCGTGTGAATTAAACCAAAGCACTGAGTGTCATGTCCAGTTGTTTTCTGAACACTTCCAGGGGTGGTGACTCCACCACTTCCCTGGGCAGCCTGTTCCAACAACCCTTTCCATGAAGAAATTCTTCCTGATATCCAGCCTGAACCTCCTTGGCACAGCTTGAGGCTGTTCCTCTTGTCCTGTCCCTGTGGCTATTTTGGATATAGAATAATTAACAAAAAACTGAGGGTAAAATCAGTTCAGAGGGATTTAGGGGTAATAAATTTCCTTTTAGATTATGAGCAGAAAGTCTTTGTGGTACTGTCTCGGTCCACAGTTTGTACCATTGTGGCACATAAATATACTGCATTGTTTTCACCAGCATTTGCCACTGTGATAGGTGTGAAACCCAGTTCTGTATCTGCATTGTCTTGGCACTAATCCTTCACAGCTCCTGCCTCTACCACACATCTTAGTAATATCTTTCAAACTTTTGCTTTTTCATAGATAATCTTCTTGAATGTGATGAGTGATAGGGAACAGGCCTTAATTCAGATAATTTTAATAAAGCTTTTTTCTTTGTCACAAATGATAGAATCTCTCTTGATGCGTAATCTGCCTTTGTTCTGTCTCACTTCTGATCAGCAATTTACTGTATCAGCCTACAAGGATTTCCTGAAACTTGTTCTCACGATAAACTTATACCTTGATTACCAGTTGTATTCACTATTAAATTGTCTCTTCCTTTGTAGCTCTGATTGTAAAATGTGTTCATCTTAGGATTGACACTATTCTTTTTCCTTTTTTTATTTCAATGCATCTTTTAGTAGTGCATTCCTGTGTTTATTTCCTCGTCTCCAAGACTCCTTTGATTCTGTGGCATTTATTCTTGGTATTCTTCTGCTGTATCCCGTTTTCAGGCCTTGTTTTGCTTTTGCCCCGTGAGTCTGACCAATGCCTGTACATACCTAAGTGCTGAGGTGTTAAACTCTGTTATTTACATGTGTGCAGAAAGAAAAAGGTCCCAAACTGTGAGTCTGTGGCAAATCTTTCCACTGAGAGGAACAAGGGCTTAGCAGTGCAGTTTGACACCATATGTATTATGGCCCAGATCCAGTTATAGAAACAATTATGCTGTACTTTGTATGTCTGTATAGAAATAAAAATCCTTCAGCAGTAGTTCCATATAAATCCTCTTGGAAGTCCATACAGAAGGAGTTTCTTTATTGCTTAGTGCCAAAGGCCAAACCACTAAAGAATTACGGTGCTCCAAAAGGTAGGTAGGTCTGTGCTTGACTTAGGTTATATTCTAAACTAAACTGCAGCACAGTGTAAAGAGACATATTTTTCTGTTCTAACACTCCTTCCCCTTTTTGTATGATACCTTGTCTAGTTATGAAACACTCATGGACTTGGGCAGTGGAAGAGAGGTATCCTTCTGTTGACTGGGGAGAATTCTCTCACTGTCCTTGCAAATGTTGTTTAAAAACTGCTGAGAAGCCTTGTTACCATGGCAGCATTCGGATCCCAGCAGCTCTCACGTTCCTGTGTGCTGCTGTACACATGGGGTACCTGTTAGAAACACATGGTCATGCTTAATGATAGTGGGTTTTCTTAGGGAATTAACAGATTATCTCTTTGCCAGCAGTTGTTTATAGTGGCAGAAACATGGCCTCAATTAGTTTAATTTAAACCTGTCAATGCTAGTAACACAGAAGTTTAATAATTTCCTATTTGTATAATGCATACTGTAATATTTAAAGATAAATTTACTCTAAGAAGCTTTTCTTTCTCAAGGCAGATGTGCCATCAGGGACTAGTCTGTTCTCTAGGTCAAGCATAAACATATGTAATAATCACTTCTTGTTAATTATCTTCTGCAAAACAGACTTTTTGCAAGGTCTTGATTTAACAAGGGACTCATCTGGGATCTCTTTTCTTCATATTTCTTGTAAGTTATCTGGATTGGAAAATACCCTAAAGGCAATTACAGAAGAGACTGGCAGGAAATTTCTGAAAGATGGCTGTGTGAAATGATTATGTGGGCTAGCAGAGAGTGTAAAGGAACAGGAGACAGAAGTTGGGCAAGGGTTTCAAGGGGGGGTAATTCTGGAGTGAGGAACATATAATGTGTTTTCAGTATTGTTTGATACTGCCCTTTACTTGAGCTGGTCCTGGGTGTATGTATTGTTCACCATTTTGGTTACTGTACTTTTTAATTTCTGTAATGCATTTATTGTCCAGTCTCCAGAAAAGATGAAAGGCAGCTCTTGGCATTTTTCTTTTTGATTTGTTCTTAAACAGTCAAATTACTTTAATTTTTTAGAAGTTAAGAAAGAAATGCATCTGGTTTCAGACCAGGTGTTTGAAAGTGATGCATATGTCTCTAATGGGAGTCTTTGAGAAACTTAAAACGTAATGTTGTTTGAAAAAGTGCAGCTAAGCAACTGTTTTAACTCTGGAAATGGACACTAATAACTATGACAAGCAGTGTGAAAGGGGCACCTTTGGCATTTCTGTTTGTTGTTTTGCTCAGAACTGAGTGAGCAACTCTAAACCAATTTAATACTAAATTTAGACTTCTGCAAAAACAAGGCATAGAGGCCAAAAGATACTGTAGAGATAGTAGATGACAAGAAGAGAATTTGTGATGGATACTGTAGTAAAAGTTGTTTAATGTTCACCTTTCCCTCAAGGGATTTCCTATAAGATGATAGCACGTATTAGCTGTGCATAATGCTTGCGAGTCCTTCTTCTTAGGCTTCTCTTTTTGTAGCATTTTGGGGTCTTTGTTTTTTAAGATCTGGTGCATTATTCTCATTTATCTGTCAGGTTGCTTTTGTAGAAATATTATAGTGGAACAAACTTATTGGTTTCCTGAAAAATTCAGGTGTCTAATTCTTCTTGTAGTCACCATTATGAAGAAGTTGTATTACTCCATTGTCTTGTATATTCTTCTTTTCAAATTGTGTATCTGTAATATTTCCTTTATTGCTGTGGATAGTCCTGAAAAAATCAGGGGGGATTTGGGTAAGTAACCAACCACTGTGATGCTCGGCACATACCCAGTCATCTGAAAGAGTCGATGTGCAGGGTAAGATCTTACTCCCTGGCTGCAGTGAGAGAGGCTTGGGGGTGTTTTTCTAAATAACTTTTCTGATGAGAGAGAGTTAGAAAAGATGCCAAGTGTTGACCTTGTTGCAGCTCTGGTTATGAATATTAGTTCTGCGAATTTAAAAATCTAAAATTTGTACCTGTCAAGTCTATTATGCTTTGAAAATCATGTGGACCGTACTGGGTCTCATCCTCAGTAGATCATTCAATGCTGTGGACTCTTCATCTTCTGTTAAACAGTGAGGGTTGTTAGCCTTGTGTTGCTCTGTGCAGTCCTCTGCAGGATTCTTTTGATCTCTGTGGCATCAGCAATCATTTAGTGTGACCTGGATGAAGTGAACAGAGTCGTCTTTGGCTTTCTTGTGTAGTCTCCTAACGGTGGAGACACTTGAGAATAATAATCCCTGAAAAAACATGCTGTCAAAGACCTGATTTTTACCAAAGAAGGAATGGAATCTTATAGCAATGGTGATCATAGCAAGGAAACCGTAGGGCATATCAGTTTGCTTTGATGGTTGGAGGCAGCAGAGATGGTGTTCTCCTTGCGAAAATGCAAAATGGACAAGGGAATTCTAACAAAGGACTTGGATATTTTTCTCTCTTCTGTACTTACAGTACACATAGGGAAAAAGGAGATTCCTTAAAAGGCTGAATACTGACTTATACTGTAGGCTGAGTAATAAAGTAAAGCTTGAAAAGGCACTTGATAAAATCTAATATTGAGTTATCCTCTGTTTTATAAATTAATACACTGATCTGTTGCATTTTTTTAGCTTTTCATCATCTTTTTTTATCTTGTTTTCTTGCTTTTGTAGGCTGGGTTTGGCTATGGATTGCCAATTTCTCGTCTGTATGCGAGGTACTTTCAAGGTGACCTTAAACTCTACTCAATGGAAGGCGTTGGCTCAGATGCTGTAATTTATTTGAAGGTACGAATTTGACCCTTTTATAAACTAGTAATGCAGATTGTTTATATTTATAGCAGGCTCTTTTCACTCCTTGGCTTGTTTTCAAATTTGTTTTTGCTATTTTTGTTTGACATGCTTATCTAAATCAGTTACGCAGAATCCTAAACCCCAAGGTTATATACATTAACCTGCCACTAATACCAGCTAGTCTGTGTTAGATTTTTTTTCCCCCCAGTCCCCTGTGTCAGATCATTGCATTTTGTTAATCCATCAGAAGTGGTGAATTTTCTGTGCAATGAGAGAGAATTTTGGTTAATGCTTTTTGATTCTAAGTTTTGGCCGCAATAGAACTGAGAAGACTGTTGACCAACCGCTGACTAGTACATAGGTTTTCTTCTATGCAGTTCTTGATGCAATATACCTTATTGTTCCTGTTGTCATTTTTTGGGAGAGACCAGGCTACTCAGGAGCTAAAGGTTGAAATATGTGTAGGTTGTTGACAGCATTGTCACTGTGCCTTGCTGGGTGTAGTGAGTTGTGGAGTCCTGTGTTAACTTCTGCTTCTGATGGGTTTAATCCTCTGCATGTGTGTGTGGAGGAAAAACGTGTGGCCTTTCTCAGAGGAAAAAGGACTGAACTGGGTCAGCCCTCCCAGGTCACTGTGCTGACAGAGCCCAAGTTCATTAGGGAAGTGAAACGTTTCAGTAGAGTCTGCTCTGTGTCACTGGCAAATCTCCCTAAAATGGTTTTGACCAAAAATCGTTTTCTTGCTGTCTCTGTAGACACCACTTTCTGGAAGAAGGGAAATATTTTTAAATTATATTATTTTCTTTTCTTTTAACTTTGACTAGTACTTTGACTATGACTAGAGCTATTAGTCACAGCTATTTTCAAAATAGTGTTGTGACATGTAACACTGGGATAATTGCAACACTTGTTCGATACAGAAGTTGTAGCTGTAGAACTCCCCAGGGTATCACCTTGCTCTGGTGTCTCTAATGATATCTAACCACTGCTTTTGTTTCTCCATAGGCCCTTTCAAGTGAATCATTTGAAAGACTTCCCGTTTTTAATAAGTCAGCCTGGCGACATTACAAGACCACACCTGAAGCAGATGACTGGAGCAATCCTAGCAGTGAACCAAGGGATGCTTCTAAATATAAAGCTAATCGATAATTTGCCACCTTTTGTCTCTGTTGGAGATGACCTCTGCATTCAGTATAAAGTCTCTGCTTTGTTCCAAAATCCTTCAAACCACAGTAGCTAATTACTTCCAAACAAAGACCTAATCAGGGCATTGAAAAATACTAAGAACAAAGTGATGATTGGGACTTAAAGGAAGGCACTGAGCACGTTTGGTATGTGAATCCTGTCTCCTTCACCACAATATGCTTGGTTGCTTCAGTCGTGCATTGACAAAAGGGATTGCACTGTGATTGCACTTAGGAATACAGTTGTTGTAACAAAAAGATACTATTTGAAGTGGCCAGTTCTTATTCCAAGATAAGGACTGGCAAGGTGTGCAGAATCCCTTAAAATGGTGAATAGTATCTTGCACAGCAATATGGTATAAGAGACAAATTCTAACGTAGTTAAACCTATGCTTCGAAAATCCACTGTTTGCGGCGTCTTCTATTGCACAGTCACCTGTAAGAGAGAATCCCTTTGAGCTCTTCAGATCTTGTATCTAATGAGCTTGTAAATGCATAGTTTTAAAAAGGGTTGTGCAGCTTTAAACTGATGCTTTCCCCAAATTCCCAAATCCATTTGTCAAGTGCATACAAAAGTTATGTTGCTGTAAGACATCAGGATTTCCGCTTCTTGGTATGCACCTTAATGATTTTCTTGACACACAAACACAGAAATTAATCTCTATAAATTTTTCCTTGTTTTGAGGAAAGCTCCTAATCAGTTAGATCATCTCTCTGTACAAGAAATTCTGTCAATACAGGGACAGGGGTTAATTCAATTTCCTATTTGCCTGTAATTTTAAGGGAATTGGGGAGGGGAGAGAAATGCTGAAAGGCCAGACAGACAGTCATACAAACAAATTTGCCTTAAAGAGTGTTGGTTGCTTGAAACCTGATTAGTTTAAAACCTGTAAATAGTTTGCAAAGTTATTTATACATTCAATGTCTGACTGTAGTCTGGTAATCTGAATTTGTAGTGTATATAAAGATGTTGTACACCAGCTTTTGGAAAGTGTCATTGATCTAAATACATGAAACTGGAAATACCATAGAAATGGGAGGGACAAAGTGTGGCCGGTACCTGATTTAAGGAAAAAAAAAATCAAAGAGGAAAAAATTTCAAGTATTTTTCCCTTTAAATTTATTATAAGGGTTATTGCTGACTATTAGGAAACTGTTCTTCACAAAGTCTTTGCCAAATGCTGTTTCTGATACTATGGCCTTTCAAAAACACCTGTGAATTTTAAAAGTTCTGCTGATACTCTAGCCATGGCAATAAAGTAGGTGAGGTGTAAGCAGCTCTGATGCACCCTCCGTTTCTCTTAGGTGTTTCGATATTTTTTGAAAAATATTAGAGATTTTAGCATGGAAAAATGAAACTTGTTTACTAGAATTGTGGGGGAACTGTCCCTTTTTTCCTCCCAATATTTATTTTTATAAAGAACTGATTTATCAGGTAAACAGGAAAATGCTGAGAAATTCTAGGTATTTAAAAAAAAAAAAAAAAGGAAAAAATCTTAGTTTGACGTAATGACCTTACTTTGCACTTCACTGCAGGATTATAAAGTGCTTTGAGCAATAAACTCCATAGAGCCCCATTTCTGAAGAGCTGGAAGTCCTTGCCTTGCAAACTCCAAGTCTCACCTGTTGCAGTCAGTTCCAGAATTTGTGTGGGAGCAGTTGGTGATTCCCAGGGCTCGAGGTCCTGTGGGTGGCACTGTGGGCATCGGGCACATGGGAGCACCAAGTCCTTGTGTGTCTGGGCTGCTGCCATCCCTGTGGAGCTGGGGGGATCCTGGGCAGCTGCCGAGGGCTCTGTGCCTGCTCAGCTGGGCAGTGCTGCCCTCAGAGCCCCCTCTCCCTGCAGGCAGGAGGAAGGAATGTGCTGATGGAGCCGTTCTGTTCCCAGGCCGGACTCCTTTAACCCTGGGAATCTCAACAGGGCACAGGGAGGGTGTGACACGTGTGGCCTCCAGAGCAATAATTTCCCAGGGCTGCAGGCGCTGCTGCAGAGAAGGCAGATTGGTATTCAAGTGGTACAGCTCCACTGCTGGGGTGACATCAGGGTAATAGTTTGACTGAAACACCAGCTGGAAGTCACACCTACTAAAATTTAGTCACTTGACATCTGCCCTCACTCATAACTTCTTACTGTTTTTTAAATTATTTCAAGTTGTGTATGTTTTCTGGTAATCACAGAGGAGAGCTTGCCTAAAGACAGAGACTGATGATGGAACTAATACTTTTCCAGTTGTGCGTGGTCAGTTTTTCCTGGAACATTGCCTCAAACATTCCAAGGAATAAGACAGTTTGTGTAAGAAACTTGAGTTGCAGCTTTTGGTAGAAATTGTATTTTGAAGTAGTAAATCCCGACTTGGACCTTTTTGGATGTTTCCTTATACATGAAGAGGAGAGGAGAGGGAATAGAAAGAAAAGGAAGGATGCAGGCATATTGAACTTGGTTTTGTGGAGTGAATGTAAACCATGGAGTGCAAACCATGGAAAGTCTGAATGAAAGCTGGAGATACCTGGAGGATGTTATGGTATATTAGTGATGTCACTTCTTGATCCACAAAAACAACTGGCTGGCTCTCAGGACTGAAGTGCTCTAGTATGAAAATTGAACTCCCCTGAAATGGCACCCATTGCCAAGAACCCTGAGCATGAACACCTCAAAGCAGGAAGGGAGAGCACAAGGAATATGTTTTCTTTCTGTTTCCCAGGGCCTGTTTGTGGGCATTATGGTGAACATGAGTGAGGAAACAACTTTTCTCCTCTCCAACCTTGTCCAGGCAGCCTGTGCTTTAGTGGAGATCCCAGGTGTGTCAGAAACTGTTCTTCACTTGTTGTCCTCATGCTGTGTTCCTACACTGGGGTATTAATCTGAAAACTGTCTTAGGAAACGGCAGTAGCAGTAGCAGACCTTTGGTTAGGAGGGATTTTCAATGGCTATGCCTGAAAAATGAGTATGTGTGTGGGGTTAATACAGCTGGTTTAACTACAGCTTTTTTCAATTACTTCTGCCTTTTGATTGGAATCTCTTATGTTTTAATATCTTGGGGCTGTTAATTCTGAACTTTCTGGTGACATAAAAGTATATTTCCTTTTTATGAATTTCAGATGTATGAACTGCTGATGTTATTGCAACCTCCTTGTCTTGAGTCACAGGACACAGAAATAGAAAAAAATGTTTTCAGTGAAAATGCTCCTTAACTGTTGTGTTTAGTGATTAACAAACTGAACAAGAGATGTTTGCTCCTCGTTTATTTCTGAGAATTTACAAACAACTTCTGTATGTCACAGTGTAAAAAATAGTTGAACTTTTTTGTCCATTGTGCATTTTTCTGTTGTATGTGTCTTGAATGTAATTTTATTAATCCCCTGCCTAGTTTAATATTAATAGATATGGAAATCTGTCCAAATTATGTGTGTATTTGTGCTCCCTGCTTTTCTAGGCTTTGTTTTGAGGCAACAGGGGGTCTGTCAGAGTCAGCACTTGATGAGAAATATTCAGAAGAACTGAAATGCTTCTTTTACAACTCAAGTGCACAGTCTTTTCCTCTGTACTTGACTGCAATGACCTAGGACAGCACAGAGGAAGTCTTTGTCCTGCTGCAGTTTGTGCTGCCTCTTGGGCAGCGCTTAGGTCAGGTCCATTGGCACGTGCTTAAAGAATATGGATATTAATTGTAGTGTTCTTGGAAAACTCAGGCTACTTTTTGGTACATAAAGCTACACTAGCTGCTGCAACTGGGTAGCATTCTTTTCTTTGTCCTCAGTGGCATTTGCTTTGAAACAGCTGTTCACTTTCTGCAAGAAGTGAGCAAGAGTGATCTTACAGTGTAGTGCAATCTCCTGTTCACCTGCCCTGAAATGCAATATTTAGGGTGAAATCCTGACCTCGTTGACATGGAAGACGTTTCCTCCCCCTCACCTTTAATAGGCACTTCTAGACCCTTATGTGTGAGGTGCTGCAAAAGTGGTCTTGATTCATGAAAATAATTCTGTAGAAAACAGCCTAAGTGTTTATTGCTAGTATTTATCTGGAGGATAACCATGTCTGATTGTGCAGTGTTCCTTTTCCTCGCGTGTTTCCTCGGTTGCCAAGTGGGTACCATGGTTTCCAGTAGCTCTTCTTTGCTTCTTCCTGACACACTTACCTGTCTATGAATTAACATATATAAACGTGTTTTTGCAGAGGTTGAGAGAGGCACATGACAGAACTGTGTAATACTGAGTTCAGAGGTGAGTTTGGTCACAAATGGGGAACGTAGCTGTAAATTGTGTGGTGACTTCAGGGCTGAATCTTGCAAATACTTGCACAAGTAAACCGTGTATGAGAGGAATCCTGCTTAAATGAATCTGTTCTCAGGATCAGGACTCAGGCTGTTGGCATTAATTTAAACAATGAAGATTTCTGTAACTGAAGTGGCTTTCTAATTAAAAATAAATGAGAAAATTTAAAGTTCACATGCTTTAATTGCAGTATTATGTTGCCTTAAAAGTCCTAAATAATTGGCAGAAGAGAACTTGTTTGCTTCCTAAATATGGAGGGGTTTTCATGTAGTATCAGTAGAATTGATGAGTTTGTGATAATTCTGACATTGCCCAACTAATTTATTTATTAAAATTTTTCTTTCAAATTGAATACTGCCAGGAGGTGCCAGACACAGTCCTTTGGAATTCATGCCCTTTTCCCATCAGGTAGAGGCAGTGGTGCTCCCAAACTCTCCGTGTCCTTGGCTCTGCAGCAGGGACTGACCCCGTGCAAGGGACCTGCTGGGCAGGCTCACACCTGCCAACACTGATAAGCTGATCAGGTGCTAAACCTGCACTGAGGTTTGGATGAACTTCCGATGTGGGTGGAAACCAAGTCAGTTTGTTCCCAAGGTCAGCTGTGGGAAGAGCTCGTACTGGTGAACTGACCCTGTGTTGTAGCTGCATCCAGGGGGGAATTTCTTGGGTCATGGTGCCTTTCCTCTGAGGTGGCATCACTTGCATCAACTAAACCTGTAATGAGAAGGTAACTTTTCATTAGATTACTTGGAGATGTTTCAAATTTATTTTTGGATCGCCTGTAACTTGTTGGAATTGTTTCTAGTCCAATACCCATGCATTTGAATTGTGGATACTCTTATTTTCCTTTTTAATTTCCACGGTTGACAAAAACCCACAAAAACTACTTGATGAAACTTTTAAGGGACTGATTTGGTTTCACACAACATGGAGCTTAGTTTGGGATTTGGCAGCCCGAGGTCAACTTCTCCCATGCCTACAGAGGGGCACCTCAGAGAGCTGCACTGGGGAGCTCAGTAATTTTAGCATATGAAGCATGTGAGCACCTTTTGGGTTGGGGTTCTTTTTTTTCCTGCTATATAAATCTCCCTAAAGCTAAAGCTTCCTGGATTATTGCTGACACCTGAAATATCTGTTGTGAACTTAACAACTAGGCTTCTACCTTGAAATTTCTTCAGCTTTCCATACTTATGCATTCATAAGTTATTCAAGAAAATGAAAAAAAAACCAAAAAACACCAAAGTTTCTTACCAAGCAATTACAGAGCAGGAAAATGCCTGGGGACCCAGCTTGCTTGGCTCATTAGCTTTTTTATTAAGTAATAAATGAGGCTCCAGATGGCCAGAATTTTGCTAGAACTGAAATAATTTTCTTTCAGATGAAGAATTTATTTTAAAACTTCAAATGAGAAGAAATCTGTGTGTTATACTTTCTCACTGCTCACCATTTGCCTGACTGGGTATTCACAGGAGCTGAGTGGTTAATTAAGTAGCTCAAAATTGCAAAATCTGTCAGCGTGTACGGCAGAATATTTGACAGTAGCTGTCTGTAGAAAATAAAGCAACTAGTTGCAGCAGCAGCAGTATAATGAAGATTTATGGCTTCAGGACACAGGCTGATGTAGGAGAACAATTTGTAATACAGGATCGTGTTTTTGTTATACAATTCATGCCTTTTTCAGAGTGCTGTAGACTCAGTACTTCAATTTGTTGCTTTCAGTGGGAAGACAATCTAGCAGTAGACAGCCTTTAAATGAAGTTAGACATATAAAACATGTCAGGCATGCTTGATAGGAAAAATTAAACTTTTTATTAATGTCAGATCAGTTTGTATTAATCATCTAACTTGGAGGCTGTTTTTACTTTAAACTTTTGTACCATCTCCTCTAGGAGTAAAATGGAGTGTAGTAAATAATGTCTGCTGTGTGCTGTCTAACAGCATCAGCCATTTGGAAATCTTGTCACAGCAATCTGAAAGTCCTTCTCCATCCCAGTGACTTGGATAATTTTTTTATGGCATTGGCCCAAGCTATTCCCCTCATGTGTCTCCTAGTCCAAAGGCAGCAGGCACATTCCTTTGCTTCTGCTAATGTGCAGCTGGAGCCATGATTTGAACATTGTAAGACGTTTTTGATCTGCCACTGTGGATTCCTGTCTTGAAATTAATGTCCAGGTACCTGTAAATACACTGATTCAAAAGACCATTTTCAGATGAAAGCGTCAGTTCTGCCAATCTTCAGGGTCTCATATTGACTGTGTTTTGGTACTGGGAAGCTTTCCAGGGACAGCTTCGTTAATGTCTTCTTGCCGTTGTGGGAGCTGATGCCACTTAGCACGTTGTGCCATGGAAGCTGTCCTGGCAGACATGGCGTTGTTGGTGCGCTGTCAGTGAGCACCTCCCTCGCCTGCTCGCTTTGCTCGTCATCATTCTGTTAATAAATCCCTTTGTAGACAGAGGAGCACTCGATACAGAGTCCTCAGGGCTGTTGGGGACCAACACTTGAGGCACGGTCAGGTTTGCATTCAGGTAGAGGAAGGTGGCTTTGTGTGTGTGCCAGGTGTGAGTCACAGCCATGGGGTAGTTTCTCTGTCTCTGTATTGGTGGGCTAAAGGTTACTCTTCCCAAGCACCGTGCTCTGAATGCTCTGGAACAGGGCAACAACGTTCCCCCAAGGAAACACTGTTCTTTCCTTCTGGATTTCCAGATGTGGTGTCAGTTTGGTGAATGGGTGTCTAGTCCACACAGTGCAACACTTGCGAAGTGCTGCTGGGAGAAATGGCTGGGTCCTGTGCCTTTAACGTACAAGGTTACCACTTTACAGTGTATTTCACAAATAGCCCTTTGTCATGGATGAGGAGGTTGCAGTTATGCTTTGTATAATATTTTAAATACATTTTGTCTCGCTGTTACTCTGTGCACTCTACAATGGAGAGTGCTGGCTTTTAAACACTGTGTTTACAGCAGGTGAACTGGGGTTTCTAGGTTTGTAACAGCATGTGGAAGTATTTTATCAGGGTGCTTGATACACAGCTGTACTGCTCAAATACATAATTAACTTTTGGGCTCTTCATAAACAGTTGAACAGTTGGGAAAAGTGTGCAAGATGATCACCTTGGGCACTTCTCTGTGGGTGTGATTTCATTCAGGTGATGGCTGGAGTCAGTTCTGCTGATGGCACGGTCGTACCCCCACTCTTTGCAGTTAGCTTCTGTGTAGTCTAGTTCTCCGTTCTTAATGATAAATTGACTTGAATTCACAGAAACTGGAAGTTGAAAGGTGTCAGAATAGAGATGCTTGACCTCATGACATTATTTTTTCTCTCCTTTCTTTTAAAAGATACTGAGTCTGAGCTTGCTGGTGTTTTCAGACGGTTCTCCATGTTCTCTGTGTGGTTGTGACACAAGTTTGTGCTGTGGGATGGTTTGAAGTAAAGGTCCTCCTTCAGAGAAAGGAAATTAAACAAGCCACCCAAGATTTGTGATGTCTGGATTATGTTTAATTTGGAACCAGCTATTTTTGGGGAGAATCTTGTTAGTTCTTGTACAGGATATGCCTTACCCGTCTTTCTGTTTGCATGTGAACAATGTGAATATTGAAAAGGTTGGATTTGGGTTTTTTTCTGCAATAAATACACTCATTTGTGAGAGGCCTTTGAGATAACCAAGGGGGGTGAGGAGAACAAATGAGAATTTTCCCTGGGGGATAGTTTTCCATTTTGTTTTGGCATTTGGCTTTTAATCACATGTTGTAGCAGTGCTAGCTCAGTACACTGTTAAAAAATGAAGCTAAATAACTTTTAAACTGATTGATACAAAATATCTCAAGTATGGCTAAGTAGCAAAGCAACTGGGTTCCTACCAGTTAATGCATTAGTTTTGAAATGAAAAAGCTGGAGTAGTATGGCACATAGTGCATTAAAATAACAAACCCCTGTTGATATTCAGAGCTGGTCACTTGTAAAGACCAGGTTATAATTAATCTACTCTTCCGAACTGGATGACAGCTCCTTTATTTTATGGAAAACCAGTGTGGGCTTGTAGGGAAATGTGATTAGAGAATCATGAGAATGGGGGAAAAAAGTACCAAAAAGTAGAAGAGGGCATAATTTATTCTATCAAAGTTGTTTCTAGAATTTGAAATGGGCGTGAGACTTGATGTGCTCAGGCACAGGAATAGCTGTTTTGAGTTAACAGACCATTTTCTCTTTGAATAGTCCAGTTAAGGATTAAAAAAATTAATTTATTGCTAGGTTTGTAACTGTGAAACCTGTGCTTTGTAACTGTGAAACCTGTGCTTTGTAACTGTATTTTTGCTTTTGTTTACTGCAGTCATTTAAAAAACAAAAAGCCCAAAATTCTTCAGATTACTGGATACCAACTTTCCTGTGCCAGAGGCTTTGTTTTCACCCTTTCTGCAAACAGGAGAAGCCAGTCACAGGGGTTTAGAGGTTTTTGATGGATAGGGGTTTGGGGTGTCCCCCTTTCAGATCCATGTCTGGGCTCTTCTGGGTGCTTCCTGCTGTGCTGGGATTATTTAACATTGTCTGCTGGGCAGCAGAAGGAATCCCCTGCCTGTGGAGATTTCTATCCAAAACCTAAATGTAAATGGAAAGCTGAGCTACCAAAATGATGGAAGTGTTGTAAGTAGTCAAAATGCTGATGACTCCACAGAGGTCACTTATTTCATGTATAGCACAGACAATAAATTCTTACCAGGGAAAAGGAGGATCAAGCCTTGTAACTTTCTAATCCTTCTAAGGGACAGTTGTATTTTCGGAGTGAAATTGCCTTTGAGAAGGGTTAAAGGAGGTGATCCTTTCAAAGGCAAAATTTTCTTCTTAAAATTTTTTTTGCTTGTTTGTTTTCACAGTGTATTTTGCCATTCTCCAGTATACAAGGCAGGCATTTGTGTGAGAGACAGAACTGCCTCACCTGGATTCAGAGCTTGCAGTTCCCTGTTCCTCACTGAAGCTGTTGTAGAGAGTAAATGGGATGGAGATACCAAGTGTGAAAGAACTGGCCATGAATAACTGCTGGGGCAGGGAAATTCAAGCCTCTTATTTGTGAAACTGCTACTAACACTGTCATGGGAAGAGCCTCAGTTGTTGCTGGAGTCTTGATCCCACATTCTTGGATTCGCACAGTGAAAGTGCATATCTGAAGGCTTTCAGTATTTTTATTTAATTCTTTATCTGTCTCCTATCCCTCACAGGTGGAGCTGTGAGGCAGTGACCTTGATTTCCATTCCAATTAGAAATTCTAATGCTGTCCTTCCTTTCACCTACCAGGAAAGGGTCTTCCCTTTAGAAAGAAAAGGGCAGAAAATAACTGTGTGTGTGTGTGCTTCTGGACACATGTATTTTGAGAGGAAAAAAAATTCTCTTCAAAATCAATTCAGTTCTTAACAGTCTGCTGCTTGAAAGGGTCTCCTCCCAAACCCTGGGTCCATTTTCTGACCCACCTTAAGCCCTGTTTTATGAGATCAGAGGTCTTCTGCACCAGACTCAAGTGAAACTGCTGCTTAATTAAGTGCTATCACCCAGGATTCTCTTCCCGTGATGGTTTGTTACCCTTTTACAAGCAAATCTGATGTAGTATCAAACCTTTCCTGCCTGCTCATAGGCCTGGTTCCCAAGGGGGTTTGCCAGGAACCAAACAAGGATCTCCTCTGGGCTGGGCTGAACACTGAGCTCACTCAGGGATGCTTCTTATATATCTCCAAAGTGATGCCCAGACACTGCTCAAAACAGCCCCAAATCCATCTTAAGTAATAAAGCTTGTGTTACCTGGCAGCATTTTGGTGTGGGCTCTGTGCCTTTAAATAGTTGCTCTGCTGTGCTCAGTGACTTTGAAATTTGCTTATTCTGTAATTAAAAATATCTCAGGTGGGAAGTCCTGAGCCTCCACTTGCTGGTTCAGCTTCTCCCTGCCTGAGGCAGGACTGTTCAATAAATAATCTTTACAGCTGCTGCAGTACTAACTCCTTACAGAAAGGAGAACAAAAGGGAAAGAACAAAGCAGGAATATTCAGGTATCAGACTGGATCAGATGGAGAAAGAGTGAAGTCCAAAGGCCAGTGTCAGGATTTGTCCCTGTGGCTCACATTTGCTGCTGTGGTTTTCTGTAAATCTGGAACAGCCACACATCATCCTGGCGCCCACAAGAGCATCTCAGTTGTTGTTGGAGATGGTTTTCAGCAGCAGAAGCAGAATGGCTGGAAAAGCACCACCTCTTTCTTCCACTTAGAAGTAAGAATTAAAATAGTGGCTCCTGATTCCACTGTGTTGGGGTAAGGGAGGTCTCAGACTTGTTGGTGTCTAAGGCTGCACCTCTCCAGCTGGGACAGCATTTCCCCTCCTTTACCTTGCAGCCAGAAAAATGTGGGTGAAGGCAAGGAGAGGTGATCCTGTCCATGTGGAGGGCAGCAACACAAGCAGCAGCATTTTGGGCAGGTTGGCAGAGCTGTCCTAGTGGCATTTGTGGGGTACCAAGGATGGGGGTAACAGAAACTGCCATCAGTGGGGTTTGTGCTGGGGGTTGTGTTCACGTGTCCAAAGGTGCTGCAAAATAACAGGGTGAGGCAACTCTGTTTGTCATACACTGTTTATTTTTCATGTGGAGCTTGGCTGATAAACAGGACCGAATTAAAGCAACACTTGTGAAAAATAAAACCCAACCATGAATCAGAAGTGCAAAACTGCCCTCCGTGTGTCCAGAGACGATGAGGTTCTGGTTTGCTGGAGACAGCACATGAATGTACCAGCAGGGCAAAGGCTTCAGCTTCTTGATATCCTAAATGCAAATGGACACCTGGTACAGTATATGGCTTTGTTGCTGGGTACCCACCTGTGACCCTGAGAAACAGCTTCTGATAAGAACAGGTCACTGGTGAGTTTTTCTCCAGTTCCCATTTACAAGTCGTGGTGCTGTCTCCACTCAAACCACTGAGCAAGGGCTGCTGAACATTAAGTGCTGTGAAACTAAAATGAACAAAAAACAAATGCTAAAGCCAAGAACAACAAATCCCTGCCCACCTCCATTGCATTTGGACACGGCTCGTCACATCAACAGCACCAGAAGAGAGCAGACAGTTCCCGTGGTGGAGGAGTGGTTTGTGATGGGAAGACTTAAGACTTGCAAAGGATCAGAAAAACTAACAAGTGCATCCCAGGTATGAAATTACAGTAACAGGTTGCCTAAGGCTGAGAAGGGTCTTAATTGCATCGTCCCATTGGGCTCACAGCTGGCGGCAGCTGAAGTGGCTGTGGCTCTCCCTTTGCACTTTCCACCCTATTTCCTGCTCATCTCTTTTTGCAGCTCTGTGAATAAGGAACTATCTTTATTCCGGATGACAAAGTGTGGCACAAGATGCTGTACTTGTGGTCGTCTGGTAAGGGTCTGGCAAAATGTTGCCAAAGAAAAATCAGTTACCCTGTAGTGGGGGAGGGATGAAAGCTGTAGGGAATGAGCAGAGTGCAGGGCTAATTTCATGCCTGGTACCAAGGTCTGTAATTTACCTGCCCATAAAAGTATCTGGAAGGGATGGAGTGAAAGAAATTTTACCTACCAACCTGGTCACACTCAGTGAGGTAAGGACAGCAGCCTGGGAGGCACTGCTGCCAGCAAGTACAACCACCCCGTGTGCTTGGGCAGCCTCTTCTCTCAGTTGTTTTCCAAGAGCCACTTGGAGCCCTCCTCTCCCACTGCTTCCTGTGCTGCCTGTGCAGGGAATCAGCAAGTGCTGACTGGTGCTGCCCAGAGTGGCCGCTGTGTCCCAGTGGGTTTGCAGTTCCAGGCAGCCGTGGCACAGTGATTTCACTGCTGCCCGAGGCTGTGCCCAGCAGGTTGCCTGTGGGACAGGGGCGGTGGAAGCCTTGTCCTGCTGGCCAGACACCAAAGCTGGAGCTGAGCTGGAGAGCCTCCAGCGTGCCCATGTGCTGAGGCAGCTGTGCCAGGTGAGCCTGGGAGCCAAATGGCATCCTTGGTGCCCAGCCCACCACAGCACCGGGGGCTGGGGGCGTTCCTGTGTCTGTGGGGCAGAGGAGCCCCAGGGCTCAGAAATCCTGCCGGTCTCTGCAGCCACCGCAGCAGGTGCCAGCTGAGGGGCTGAACATGGAGCCAGATGTCAGGCAGGTCTGGCTTTGCCCAGCTGGAAGGACATCAGGGAAAGCTTTACTCACGTACCCTCCCTGTGTTTCTGCTTGGGGCTGGACAGGTGTCATGGATGGAGAGAGAAAATCCTCGTGCCTAATCCTGTTTAAAAGGCTGCGTTTTTTCCAACTTTTTCTCCGTGTTAGGGTAGAGGAATGGCCTTGGGATCCTCTTGCAGGGGCAGTGTGTCTGTGAACACACCTTGTTGAGAGTTTGGTGAGAAGTTTGTTGAACTGGCTGAGTACCATGTGCCAACAGCAGCACTGTTTGCTTGTTTGCTGATACATAGCTGGGAGCAGAGCAGCAGGGTTCCCCAGGAGGCCACATACAAAGGCTTCAGGATCCCATGTGTGTTTTTTAGAATTCACCAGTCAAAACCACAACCATCTTCAAACTATCTATTTCCCATACCACCACATTCCAGGTAGGGCTGTCTTTTAATTTACTTTCTTTCCTTCAAAGTGCAAAGCCAGGGAGCAAACCAGAATTGATCAGGCAGCTGTTCAGGCACTAAGAATGTGGAGAGCAATTTGATAAAGCAAAAAGCCCGACTATGCACACCCCATACAGAGGCTGTCAGCAAGCAGCACTGAATATATTAAATGGATTTCCACCAACTTGCCTGGAGAGCTCTCCATTTCAGTGGTATGGTTTGGGCTCTGGGGCAGATGTTATTCAAGAAGAAAAAAAAGTAAAACTTTATTCCCTGTTTCTCAACGTATTTGCTGCAGCAAAGCCATTCCTTCATGTGCCAGAAGAGCTCAAAGTCAGCAGGGTCTGGTACAACTACATCTTCTCCATCCATAGGCTGCAGCCCACACGTGCCTGTGTGCTGGGCCGGGATCAGGAGCCAGCAGGGCTCCTCTGCCAGCCCCCCTCGGTGCAGAGCTCCTGCCAGCCTGGCCTGGAGCAGCGGCTGTAAAGCAGCACAAGAGGGAACACGACCTGGCACACAGGTGTGTTTTTGTCATTCCCTGGTGCTGTGTCTGGCAGGCGCTGCTGGCTGGGCCTCCAGCACTGCCAGGGAGTGGGGATGGGATAAGCTCTTCCTGAGATCTCCCTTGCTGTGCTCCAGTTCGTTTTCAACATTGCCCAGAGCACGATCCCTGCTGTCAGAGATACCCCTGGTGTTCCTCACGCTTCTCCCCATCCAGTGGCTGAGTTCATAGCTTGTTCTTCTGTCTCATGGTTAAAAAAATATATATTTTATTTTTCATCCTCATCTCCCTCGCTCATGCTGCTGAGGGAGGCAGAGGCAGCTTTTGGAGAAGAGGGAGGGGAGGCCTTATTGATGACCCAGGGTGGAGATGGAGAGCGGGATGGAGAGCGGCCTCGTGTGGGACTGCTGTTTGGGCTCTGCCGGGGAGAAAAAGCCTGGAGCATTCGGCCACTTCGTTCCTGGAACATCTGCTTCTGCAAAAGCAAAGTGAAAAGATGCTCTTTGAGTATTGCACAGGGGGGAAGGGATGGCTGTGGGCAGGCAGGGGCTGCACTGTGCCTCTCACCTGGGAGAGAGCAGGGAGCCAGAGCCCTGGAGCACAGCTGGTTTGCCTCTTCTCCTGTGCTCACAATAACCTGGCTTTTAAGTGAAAGTGTTCACCTCTGCTGGGACATCCCCAAGTGTGAGAACACTGTGTGTACTGTCCCAAGCCAGCTTGGGGGACTCCCTTGGTATTTTTTGTATGCGTTGGTCACACTCTTAAAAAGCCAAGTTTTCTGCCTGAACACCCAACGTTCCTAGTTCCCACAACCTTTTTTCCTTCTAGCGTGCTGATACAGACCACCCTTCTCCTCAGCTTCCTGGCTCTCCCAGCCTTTATTCCTCTTTCCCTTCTCAAGGGAGACAGTCTGGTGCCTGCCAAATACTGGCAGCTGCTTCCCTGGCTACCTGGAGCAGGCAGCACCCAAACCCATAAATGTGGCGTGGGAATGTCAGAATTTGGGTGTCTGTGTGAAAAGAGAAACACGTGCAGGCTCTATGTTCTGCTTGGAGCTTTATTGTCATTTTTGCTTTGCAAAGCTGAGTGGAGGCCTGCCAGAGCTGGTAGGGTGGAAGAGACCACCTCTGCAGTCAAGCACTCTGCTACACTAAGGCAAGTAAGTGCCTCTACTTGTTACAGCAGCTATGGGGCCTTGCATCAGCCTGCTGGGCTGGGCTACAGAAGATGTGGCATGTGCTGTGCAGCTGCTGCAGGAGTCAGGTGGAAAGTGCCAAATCTCAGTGCCTTGCTGCTCCTCCTGAGGGCGGGGAGTAAGAAGTCTCAATCTTGGCTGGAGCACTGGCAGTCAGGTCACAGGTGATGCTCGGCTGGAAAGGAAAGATCCAGCCCCGACAAAGTTAAGTTGCCATTCAGGTCTGAGAGGAAAATATTTGTGCAGAATGTATGCTGGGTTTGCCTGTTTGGGCAGCTGCAGACTTAGCTAAATTTTCATCTTGTTCCTTCTCCCCGCAGTGGCTGCTCTGTGCTGACCTTCCTCCCAGCCAAGGAGCCTGTGGCTGCCCATCTTGTTCCTCCTCCCCCCCTTTGAAACTCGGTATTCCCTGCCAGCAGAGAGGCCAATGCTGATCTTCCCCTCAACTTCCTAATGTTTGCTAATCCCAGGTGCTGAAAATCGAGCACAAATACTGAACTTAACTGTTCCCCTGTGAGCATCCTCTCCCAATTAACATCTTTAGCACATTGGCCTTTATTGACTTAGTTTTACAGCCTGGATGTTGCTGCAGTGCGGAATGGCAGAACAGTTCCTGCCTGGAGCCACACGTACCAACATCCCACGGCGTGTAACCTTCCCCTGCACTATGCTAGGTCCAAAATAGCCAAGACTTCCTAAAATCTCAACAGTTAGCAGATGGTAGTTGCTCCTGATAAATGGTGCCAGGAATGGGGGAGGCTTTCTGTGGCTGAGAGCTGTGAGGATGTCACCAGGGCTGGCAAAGCGCCAGAGCCTGTTTGCAATTCAATGGTAGGGGTGCAAAATTTCTCTTTAGATCATGGAAATTTGAGGTTCTGTTGGCTTGACTTAATCTGTTTCACCCTCTCAGTGAAAATGACTCCCAACAAACTAAAAAAAATGTTTGATGTGAAGTATCTTCCTTGGCCAGTCAAAACACTCTAACTTGCTCTTGCCACTTCAGAAAGCTCAGTGGTAGAGTGGTGCTTCATGGTGGTGTGGTGCCAGCGCTGAGGGAGATCCAAGTGTCCCAGCTTGGCTGGTATCCCATGTGGCAGGGGGTACTTGGCTGTACCTCGGGTCATATGAGCCAGAGATGGAAGGGGAAATCCCACCTTCCTGCTGAGGCCCTCAGCCAGGCTGTAGGACACCTGCTTCCCAGTCCCTGCTTCAGCAAAGGCTGTGTGGCTTGAACAAGCTGGTGTATTCACACCTTCAGCAGAGTAAGCGCCTGGCCACTCCCAATTGCCTCCTGCACTAGTGCTGGAACCACCACGCGTCTGGCTAAACCCACAACTGCTGCAGGAGGAGGAGCTGATGTAATTCACCTGCCTCCAGAATGCATCTTTCCCTCCAGCTGTGCCTTAGCAGGGTCAGTAAGTCATGCCCTTTGCAGGCAAGATGCTTCTTGGGCTGTTGAGTGCTGAAGAAGGAGAACAAGTGTTAATGGCTTCCTGAATGCTGGAGGGTTAGAAAAGGCTGCATGTGCTCTGGACCTTTACCAGAGGTGGGAAAATAATTTCAAAGTCTTGATTCAAGCAAGTTCACGTACACCCAATCAGTCCAGGGTTTCTTTTTGGCCAACTTGCTTCTGCGAAAAAATGTTTTGCCTGTTCCTGACCTTCACTGTCTGTATGTTGATACTCCTTTTCTTTACAAAGCAAATGCCAGCTGGGTGTTACAGAGAACTTCTGCTTTTGAGCTGCTGGTTGTTCCAAGGCCACGTTTAGGTCCAGGCTGCAGACACATGGTGTGGCCTAGACACGGTCCCTGGGTTTAGGTTGCAACCTCTAAGTCTCATCTGAGTCCTTGCTGATGTTTGAGGTGCTGCAGCTGTTTCAAGTGCAACCATCTCCAACTGCCTCTGTGCACTGAAGCTGACCCCTTGAAGGGACATCTCATCTGGAGGGACGCTTCTGAGGGAGACTGGCATGGAAACCCTGCCCTGTGAGCTTTGCTTTCTCTCTGCTGACCTCAACTGTAAGTACCTGCTTATGCACATCTGAGAGGAGGTGGAATGGACCCTGCTGCTTTCCACTTCCACGGAGTGGTGTCTCTGCCACTGGGCTCTGTGTGCCAGGCTGTGTGGTGGTCCCTTCGCACAGCACACTGAAGTTTCATGCCACATTAATCATCACTTCTGACTCTCTTGCAGAAAATGTACATACAGGGGATTGCACAGGTGGGCAAAAGTGCCAATGAACTATAGACATCTTGACACTGAAAACTGAGATTTTGACCTTTTTCACAAATGGGCATTTTTTTGTGGCTTACGTGGCCCTTCCTTTTAGAAAACTGATGCTAGCATAAAGCATATTATAATAATTATTTGTGAAATAATAATAGCATATTAATGGCATGCAAATTACTGATCTAGGAATCCAGCATGCCCATAATGATTCCTGTACTTTTAATGTCAACATTAAAAGCAACATCTAACTAACAGTGATAAGGCAAATTAACATTAATAACAGTTTTGACACTAATAGTAAGTTATCATTATTTTAAAAGTCTTTCCTGTTGCCAAGGCTCAAACTGATTTTAAAAAAGCCACACCACCTCTCAGCTTGCTGTCACTGATGCTTTTCCTGCAACACTGTGAGAAGATTTCACTCCTCTTGTTCTTAACAAAGGTCCCTATGATTGCACCAGATGTCCTACTCTGTGGTCAAACACTAACTCAGGAGGTATCTTAGAGATATCTTAGCTGCAAATCAGCTTTTAGCTAACTGAATTTGATAAAATGTTTTATCAGCAAAGGTTTTTAAAAATGCCATTAGCGTGCAGTGTTGAGTGGGTAGAGCCAGGGAATGGACTCAGTGATTTTAAATTCTTTTCCTCTCTGCACAGCCAACTTCATCTCACCTCCTGTGGATTTTATGTGCTCTGTTAGCATTAGATTAATTTATTCAGCACCTATGGCCACAGGACCATCCCACACGGGGAACACACACCAAGCTCTAAGGGCAGTAACTTACAGGAGAAGCTTCAAGTGGATGTGGACGATGCTGGTAAACCTGGGCCTTTCATCAGAAGAGTTCCCTTCTTGCCCTCCCCAAGGAACATGACACTGTCAATGAACACACTGCTAAATAAGCTATGTATTTATGTGGCTGGGGTCTGTGTTATTCAGTGACTACCTGCCTTTGCACGGGACAAAAGTAGCTGTAAGATTATAAAGATACAGTCTCTGTTCAATTTTAGGGTTTCCTCAACTGAGTGGCAATCAACACAGCAAGTTGTGGCAGTGCACAGATGAGAACTCCAGTAACAGGCAGGTACTGTGTGCTTTGGTGGCACCGAGCTGTGACACAGCAGTGATGTGGGCTACTTAATTCACAAGTGATCTGTGAGCTTACTAAGGGTTTGTTTACAAACAGAACCTCTGCTGAGATCCTTTCAACAGAAGGTGCCCTTTTCCCTCAGTTTGCAATCAGAGCAGCACATCTGAGATGGTGCCTGCGCTGGAGGGTCTGGCAGGGCCTGGGCCTTCACCCAGCTCAGCTGGGCAGAGAGCTCATTGGAAAGGGACTGACTCTCAGCAGGAAGGTCTAAGAAGGTTTAAACAAATGATAAATTCTGCATTCAAACTGAGCTTTGTTAACAGTTGGAATGTTGCAAAATGAAGTCCTACAAGAAAACAAAGCTCCTTGAGGTGTGGCAAGCTATCAGACTGAAAAATGGGGGCTGGAACTCTTTTGGGGCTCTGAAGTGTCACCAACTCACCACTCAGCGTGTGACTTTGGTTGGAGCAGGTAAGACCCTGGGGTTTCTCCCAAGAAAGATGCTGTTGTACACTCTCAATTGCCCTTCCAAGGCACTTGGGGATCTTTAGTAAACAGGCTTTGTGAAGGCAGCATGTACCAAAGAGAGCTTTGCAAGTGCTTTAGTTCCACCTGAGCCTTCCCTGCTGGCAGTTAGATAAGCCTGGACACTTGACATGTAAAATCTTTTCTTAGCAAATTGTCATCTTCTAATGCTGGGTACTGAGCACAAAGAGAACTACTGAAAACCTTTTCAGTGGTCCTGGTTTCCCTACTACCTCCAACGTGTCTGTCTGACGTTGGTGTGGTTGCATTTAATGCTAACAGGGCCAACAGACTGCATTAGGCTGTTTGTTCACCTTCACAAAACACAGATATTATTCCAAAGAAACAACAGCCAGAAGCAGCAAATCCTTCTGCTGTAGTATTGGTATGCATTAACGGCTGCAGCAACCAGGTCTGGCATTATCCTACTGTGCTGGATTTTGAAACAAAGACTACAGCAAAAGTATCTGCTCTTGATCTGTGTTACAGAGGAGAAATAAAAACCACTCAAACTTCCTGGGATGGCACAATACCTACCCAAGCTCCGTCAGGTCCAAACAGCTCTAAAAAGTTGCCAATAAATTCTCTGGACTTTTCTTCCCATTTCTGAATGAGGTCATGGCTCTTCTCTTCCACCTTGTAAACAAATTCTTTTGACTTTTCCTCCACATTCTTGACTTTTTCTTTCATTTTGTCCACATGGTTTTGAAAGCGGTATTTCTTCTCCTGTTAAAAGTGTGGTCAGAGTTTAATAAAAACCTTGGAAATAATTAGCCACTGACAGTTGAGAAGAAGACAGAAATTTACATTAATGTATCACAATACATATGGCCTTGGTTAACTATTCCCATTAACCATTCCCCCTGTATTATTATAAATGCAAGTTTAACATCTGTGGAACAAAGTGCACAAGGTACATATTGAAGACTTTTGTGACTACTGTGTTTAAACTACTACATGAATCTTCCTCTGTTTCCAAACTGAATGCACTTTGAAAATTCTAGGAATCTTGTGAAGGATACATCAGAAACTAACAGCTCAAGCTTAGCAGGTAAAAGGCAAATCTCCCTGGGGTTCCTAGCAAACACTGCTGACTTGCCAGCCTGGATGTTAACTTGGAACAAAATGTCTCCTTGGTTGGATTTCTGCAAGCAGAAGGAAAACTCTCTTCACTGCCTGGCTAATACAGGAGCTTCTGGTGTAACACAGATGTGTGCAGGCCAGTGGATTGTGGCCAGCAAACTTCACAGAGGAGAGAGCAAACTCCTAATTGCTAAGTCACACAGAAAAAGAGAGGGACAGAGAAGATAATATTAGGGAGCTCTCACCTGTCCAAGCTTCTGGAATACTTCAGGGTTAAAGGGCTTTTGCCTTGAAACATTTCTGTACTCCACAAATCTATGGCACACGCAGCTCATCAAGGCCATGCCCTCGAAGGTGTGATGGTCTCTGCACAAGCACAGATCACTATTGGCTTTTAATTCCCTCTCAACTTCATTTAATGGGCACTTCAATTTACTTCAAGAACAAGCACTGTTTAGTGCTGAAGTGGGGTTTATTCTAGCTCACAAATCACTAAAAGAACTGTCTTTGCAGGCCACAAGCACAAAAAAAATCCTTGAGGTCCAAAGAAACCAAACTCAGTCTGCACCTAACACATGATCAGCTCTTCCTTTAATGAGGAAACCAGTGTTCTTCTGCCTTGGTGAAATCCTGGGAGTCTAATTTTAAAACAGAAAAAGCCTCTGGTGCAAATTAGTATTTCTGCATTTAAATTACTGTAAGCTAAAAAAACAACTGCCAGAAGGGTCTTCAGGATACATCAGTGCCTGAGACTGGGGAAAGCATACCTTATGCACCACTATCTTAACCTCACAGCTGCTGAAGGATAAATTTGAGAACCTCCAAGCATCCAGCATGCTTTATTTAAAAGGGTGTTTGCAATAGTGATCCTTCTGGGTGGAGTACTTACAAGTACGATTTTTGGAGGTGTAGAAGACCTTAAAAAAAAGCTCAGTGAAATAAATATTTATGCCCTGTGATCTGTGATCTATCTGCCAAACTACAAAATAAGAAACAGGTAAACAAAACTCTCACAAAATGACACAATTCAGTCGTTCACAAGGGGGTTTCCCAGCTCCAGGGAAGGGGTGGGAAGTCCTGCTGTGAGCCAGCTCAGTCACAAGGGAGATTCCAGTTACGTGGGTTATCCTGAGGCCTTAAATTAAGACTTGAAACAGAAAATGAAAGACAGTAATTCTCATTTCTGTAAAGTGTTTACTTCTCATTGGAGGGTAAGGGGCAGGTCTGTATGTGAAAGATGAATAATGTGAGCCATCCTTTCAAATGTCACTCTTGCCCTACCTATTGTGGCTCCTGAGCTATTCAGCATCACTTATGTACCAGCTTTCTAACATACTTCCTTGCCTTTTGAAAACTATTTTTGCTTTCCGTAGTAATCTCATGGCTCTGTGGTTGGTTTTGTTAGAGGTTTTGTGTTTTGGTTTGTTTTTTTTTATCCTATCGCATTGTAAAGAAAGTTTGGATTTCAAAATTCTTGCTCTCTGTTCTGTCTTCTTTGAATAGGAATAAAAAAAGAAATCCTGTGTTGGGTGACTGGCTGAGCAGCCTGTGGTGGGGGGAGTGGGCTCCTTCCTCATGTGTCATTGTCACCTACAGCTCTAGGAGGAAGGGGGGAGCACCAGCTTTGTTAAAAGCATGAAAGCATAAGATGGAAATGAAGCTGCTAATTAATAGCAGCAATTAAAACTACCCTCAACTTAACAGCTTCTTTTAAATTCTTTTAAACTGAGTTCTTTCCAGCTATTCTAAAAGCAGCAGGAGGAAGATATAATTTCTTAACCCTTCCTGTACATTCAGGGTCCTAGGAGAGGGTTTTCCAGAGGGAAATGCAGATCAGTACTTACACTAATAAAGCTGACATTCAGCTCTTTGGCGGTGTATCCTCGTTGGAGGTTGCGCCGGGCGTACACGTCGTAGTCCCGGACAATCCTTGTGATGATGTCTGATGTGGAGATACCTTCAGTTCTCTGCGTTGGCACAAACATTCCTGAGCAAAGTGGGAAAAGAAAGCCTGCTCAGAAAGCACAGCAGGACCAGGCACTGGGGCAGGTAGCTGAGGAGGAACACAAAAATGCCTGATCATAGCTAAGACGTTTCAATCCTGCCATATTCCTACTTCTTTCCTGTTGTTTCTCTGTGAGCTTGGGGAAGGCAAGGTTGCTATACCATTCTTTTTCCTCAGGTCTTCAGAAACACTGAAGCTTGCCCTCTGCACAGTGTCAGCTGTGATGTGGAAGTTATTAGACCAGCAGGGACTCCTGAGCCAGGAGGGCCAAACTTCAAAGCTGTGGCAATTCACTGAGCAGTTCTTTTCATGAGCATAACACTTATTTAATGTTATATACAGGAGCAGGGTGGTTTGCTGCTCTCCTGTGTAGTTCCACTCTCCCCTCCTGTGCTGCACTATCTGACAGTCTTTGTTCTGCTGAGTAAAACAGGCCAGCCTCTGGCCTTGACCAAAGCCAGGAAGCCCCTTCAGGTAAAGGATGCATTACAGTAACTGGAAAACACCCTGGAGCTGCCAGCAGTTTGTAACAGGGCGGTGAGGTGTAATGGTAGTGTGAACAAATGTGGTTACACTGTGGGGACTGAGGTGAGCCTGCCTCATGTCCATCCAGCCGTATCAGTAGCTGCATAACCACCCTCCCTGCCCTGACAAATCAGTCCCCAAGAGAATGGGCCATTTATCAATACTGCTAGTATTTTCCTCAACACAGCTGAGACACCTATTGCTTTTTAATTGCTCCTCACTGAGGCAGGATCACCTGAACTGTTAATGCAAGTCACAAATGGAGTAACAGCAGAGTGCTGGCACACCTTAGTTTAGTAGTTATTTAGAGCTACAAAAAATTACTACTATCACTTATATGTAATTGCAACATCAGTCTGCTGATGAGAGAGAGCTGTGAGAGAAGACTGGAAATGGTTTTGAAAAAAGAAAAGTAATGCTTTGTCTTAGAGTGCTAAACCTACTGGCAAATTAATTCTCACATGTTCACTTGAAGTAGGCAGGCATTGCTAAATAATTCCACAGGGTTAGAAAAAGACTCAGAGAAGGAATCAAGAAGCTTAGCAGACTCTTGTGACTAAATGCTATGTGATATTTTTTCTTTCTGATGTCTAATTAATACTCTGCTAAAAACCAGATTACTTTAATCATGAGCAGAGATGTTTCCCTGATCGTGCTTTTCAGGCTTGCAGCAGTCACTCAGGAAACTATTTTTAGAAGCAGTGAAACCCACTTTGAGCCAGAAACCTTTATAGATAGGAGCTAAAAGAATACATGAACAAAATCCAAACCCTACCTTTGTTAATCCAAAAGTGGAACTCTATGCAAACATTACCTTTAGTCACTGATTTGGCTTTCGTATGCTTCATGTGTTGGACTGATTCATATTTTCCAAACTAATTGTTCACAGATGTGCAGAGATTTAGTCAGTGCAGAGTTACCCAGCCCACTGTTGCCTCTATGCCCTCCCACCTACTGAAGGGAGTGGGGAAATAAGAGCTCAAGAGGATCTACACAAGGAGCTCCACAGTTCCCATCCGCTTTTCCGTTCTCCAAGAACCTGATTTGGGAAAATGGGAGTTCTGGAACTACAGAAAATGCACAAATGCATCAACAGCACTGTCTATTTAAAACAAAACCCCTAAGAGAAAGGGGAAATTCATTATTGTAATAATGCTGTTCTGGAGCATTAGGACTATTACAGCACTAGATCTCAGAGCTCTTCACAAAGAAGGTAATGCTATTGCCAGTTTATATGTAACAGAATTCATCCACACAAGACTCAAGATGCTTCTCTGGCATCTCGCCACGACAGACAAACAACAGACCACAAGTCCCTGAAGCTGCAAGTCCATACTCTATTCTGCAAAGTTTGAATTTCTTATCAGCACGTGTGCACTGCACCCATGCCCAGTGACAGCAGAGAAAGGTGTGCCAGGTTCGGGCACTCTCACGCTCAGTCAGATGCAGTGACACCAAGGGCTCCTGTCATGTTGTCCTGTGTACTCAGCACCTTACAGAAGAAAAGCACAATAGCTGCCTGTCCAGCACATGTGCTGGATGTGCCCTGGTGACCTGTCCTTACCAGAGGTGCCTTTTTTGCACTGCCTGGTGAAGTAAACTGGCATTGGCTCTGAAACTATCGAACAGTAGTTCCCAAAGGAGGGTTGTGAGTCTGACGCCACAGGGAGGTTCACAAGTGGAAAAAGAGCAGGCACTGCTGCTATAAAAGGCTTATTCCTTCAGCTCAGGTCAATACCTGGTCTGCTGCTGTCACTGTATAGCTTGGGAAGGTGACTTTGCACAACAAATTACCATCAGGCAGATTGCTCTGTAATTTTTTTAATTCTCCAATATACATGTTTATGTAGACCAGAAAGAGGCTGGATTCACCAGGGTTCAAAGCAGCATCTCCAGGGAGCAGGAGAAGAAAGTTACGATTTGTTCCTCCTCCCCCACTGTTCACTGTGTTGGCATAGCTGCTGCTGGTAAACAGTGGCTTAACGTTATCTCCTCAGATTTAATTCAGCTTCCTTGAACTGAAGAGATACAAACTCCCAATGACTTCAGCACATTCATGTTCAATGTAATATGGCGGTCAACCACACTGCTAAATATGCATGGCAAATGAATTACTCTGGTACAGATTTAAACCCTCTGCCAGTGTAATGAAAAGAACCCTCAGTGCAAATCAGAAGTGGATCCTAATGACTCCTGAAGGGTGCCTGTGCTTACCCATATTCAGGACTGGGACGTGTCAAGGAGTCATCAGTTGCAGTTATCAACAAATGACTCAAGTTGGCTGGGCTGCTGTGGAAACTAAACTCATCTTCCTCCATTCAAAACTCTTAGTCAAGCACCATAAAATTGTTTTAAAAACCCAGATGGGACTTTCTCATGCCAGAACTGAATGGTTTCCTTGGGGTTATGGCAGGAATTCAGGCAAGGACATCCTCTGTGGTTTTACATAGTGCATCTTTCTGCTCAAGTCAGGAGTGCCTACCGTTAGGGTGTAAGAGAATGTGATATTATCTCTACTGCAATTGTGGTTAAAAGGCTGTAAAAGAATTTGAGCTGAGGCTGAAAAGGAAGGTGCCAAAACGTGAACTTGCCCTTACCTGCCTCCTTTATGTGTTTGTATACATCATCCGAGCCAGCGGAAGAGTACGGGATGTCATCATGGGCTACGAAGTCAATCTGCCAGCAGAGAAGAAGAATCACATCCCACTGTCACCGAATTTGGTTCACTGGGAGATTGTTGTGGAGGATCACCTCTTTCCTGGACTTCAGCTAATTTGATTTTGACATTCTGGTCCTAAAGCCATCACCTAGAATACTGCACTAGATTTAGGCCTGCAACTGTTGTGTTGTATGATCAGTTATGAAAGAACAGGAAGCTCATCTCCAGAGGCACTGCCATTACCACATCACTCTGACTGGCTCAGTGTGATGTGCTGCAGAAAACTAAAATTCACGTGCCTGCTTTTATTGCTACTGGAAAAGCTAAGGCAAGTAGCAAAGCCTTGGCTTTCAAAAGAATGGAGGCAGGATTATTGATTTTGGCTCCTTTTGTTAAGATTCATATATGTTGCAAGGCAATCAACAGCATGTAAAAGACTCTATCCTGCCTTTTAGAGGACACGTGATATTTTTACATATTGTACCTCTTGCCATTAGTAAAAAACATGCCTTTAATTCAGGACTTCAGTCACTACAGGACAAACTTTCCTGGTTCATGATCTCCTTTTCTGAAAGTTAATTTGTGAATAACTCTTCAGTGATATTTTACCCTTAAAAATCCCAGTACAAACCTCATCACAGCACACTGAGAAAAAAAAGTCAAGACAAATATAACATTTTCTGACGAGATGGAGGCAAGCAATGCTACATACTTAATTTCAGTGACTGGAATTAACTCAATTAAACTAACAGAATTTCACAGACTTGTTGTTTACTCTTGACTGTCAGTCTACAAAGGGGAATGAGAAATAAAGGGAGAAATGTACCTTATGTTTTTCAAGGAACTCTGGTGTCAGTGTCCAGGGTGCATCTCTGATGACCTCATCCACATAACGACAGTGTCTGAGGGCTTCATATCGCTCAGTTTCGTTCATCACAGTGAAGCCTTTGAATTTATGAGTTAAATCATCGCTGCAAACTAAAATATGGAAATATCAGCAAAATGGGTCCACAGTCAGTAAAATCAGCATGACCAGCTGTTGATTGTTCCTAGATAATTCCACTAAGCACTTAATTATTAGCTCAGCAATTTTTGGTGTGCTCCAGGGCACCTAAGGCATATACTTCTGAGAGATCCTTCTCTTTCTGGAGCTGCAGCCAGAGGCCAAGGGAGGTATTGTAGGACACCTCAGGTGGTACCATGTACACATTAAGGTAAATCAATCCCACGGTAAGTGGGGATTTCATGGGCTGTGAAATTTCAGGAGTGACAGCCAATGCTTTAATACCAGTCAAGAAGTGCATTGTGAGCAATCACAGAGTTCTCGCTAACTCCCCGTATCACAAAATGGCTGAGGCAGGAAGACACCACTGGACATCACCTAATCCAACCCCCCCTCCTCCCAGCAGGGTCAACTACAGCAGGTTATTCAGGCCATGTCCAGGAGTATCCAAAGATGCAGACCCCTCGGCCTCTCTGGACCTTCTCTTACCACTTTTTATTCTCATGTAAACAATGCTCTAAATGACAAATTTGCCAACAAAGCTCAAAATCACAGTGCAAGAGTTTCTCTACAAATAAACATGGACGGAAAACAAGTTATGGTAAATTTTACAGAAATTTGTCTCCAAGTTTAGCTTTGAGTTCAGTAGGTTTCAAAGAAAGAAAACTAAGGCTTGTGCCATGTTTACATGGGAAATTGCACGAGGAAGCCCAAGGAAATGACTGGGAGAAGCCATATGCTCTAGTGAAATGAGCAGAGTTAAAGGTCAAAAAAGTCCTGCATCTTTAACTATTGATTTCAAAATGAGGGGAAGTAACACTCACGTTATCAGAGGACTGTAAAAGTTAAGTTTTATCTTTCTACCCACATAATGTAGTGTGAAACACAGTGACCTTCTCCACAACCGTAACTCTGTCCAATTTTCCAGCTACAACAGTCATTTGACACCCCTCATGGAATAATGTGATACCCATTTATAGCTGGGTTGCCAGTGGTTGTCCTTCACCACAGGTCAAACCTGTGCCTTTGGATCTCACTTGTCTGTAAATGTACTCGACAAATGATAAATGCAACATTATTAGTGCTGCAGGGAAGTGTGAGAGCAGCCCTACAGCTGCTGCTTCTTTCTAATTTGAAAACATCAACCTATCAGGCAAGGCATGGCAAAGATGCAGCCTTTTTTGAGATCTAAAATGGATGTTCTTGCTGTGACAGTCATTAAGGGCCTTTAAAGTAGGAAAAATGTCGGAAGGCTCAGGTAGCCCCAGAGCTTGTGCAAAATTCAAAGCCAGATAACAACATACGTGTGAATTTTAGCTAGTGAAATGCCACTCTATCCTATTATGTCATTTTTGATGACTGCTGACAAGAAATTTAATGGAGATCAAAGCATATTCAGTAGAAAGATCCCTTCCGAGACTGTATTTCTATTTATTTACAGCCTTTATGCCATCTCTAAGCTATCCTCTCCCGAAAGAAAAGGTCTACTAAAATCATTGGAAAATAGTAATTTTTTTCTTGAATTCGGTAGAAAGGTTTGATTTTACTTGTTGATCACTGTTCATGTACAGTGCAGACACAGTATCTTTGTACTTCCTTTTGATTCTGTCATCCTGCTCTAACGACTGATTTCAGGAGGTATAAATGTATATTTAAAAACAAGTGATCTTAGGTCCAAATAATTGTCTTCACAACAAGAAATAGAAGGGGTTGGTTGTGGTGCCCACAAAGATATATGACACTGGTGCTCTTGCAGCACAAATTGCATGTGGGTGTGGGAAGGTACCCCTTTTTTAAACATGCTAACACAGAGTGCCTTGCAAGGAGAAGGTGCTGATGAGTGCTGGCTGCTTTGTCCTTCAAGCACAAATAAGGGCAAAGTGAAGCTATTCCATGAATTTCAAAGGAGCCAGGCTTTTGCCCCAAAGCTCCTTCCCTTATCTGGGACACTCCCCAATCCTTTCAAAGCAACAACAAATGTTCATAACTTGTATTTTTTTTAAACCTGACAATCTTGCACCTCCACTTCCTTCTTCTGCAACTTGTTTGGCTCAGCAGGAAAACAAGAGAATTTTTAATGTTTTGTTCATAACAAAGGGATGTCTCCTTTACCTCCCAGGAAGCTCCATGGGAGTTGCCACAATTCATAAACGTGAGTAAAACCAAAAAGTATGTTTACAAGGTGATCTTGTTTTGCTCTGTGTTGGGTCCTTCCCCCCACTGCCTTTCAACTCATTTGGGACAAATATGCAAAATAATGCATCTTACAGTGCCTGAAGGTTTAATTCATGTTTGCTGTAAGCATTGGAGCACCTGAATGAAGGTTGCTGTGAAATGTTTCTACAAGGCATCTCAACTCAAAAGGTGGAGGGAAACTGGAACCAAACCACACATTTATATGAGGCCTTACGAGAGTGGGGCTTGCACAGCCAACTGGGCAGGAAAAAGCCACTCTCCAGTGACTCCTCAGGCACAGGCCAACTGCTGAACAGCTGTTAAACAGATGCACAGCAAGAAAATAAGATATTCATAGTAAAAAAAAAAAAAAAAAGGTAAGAAAGTAACCTGCCCAGCAACACTTGTGAGCTGAAAACTACGTTCAACTCAAGACCTACATTTGGGTCCTCAGTGACAATGGGCCAGACTTAGCTTCTCTGACGAAGTTGAAGGCTAAGTCTGGACCTGGCAGGCAGGGGTCATGAGCTGTGCCTGGTTGGCGAAGGGACCAAGGGACCAGAAATAAATGAGCAGTTGTTCTCATTCACTCATCTCCATCTTTGAACAATTTAGAGCAAATAACTGAAAAAGGTAAATTATTCATATGGAGCTATTTTAAGCTCAGAGTCATGCAGGCACCTGCTTTAACTAGAATGGGAAGAGTGCCTGTGCTGCTGAGGGCAGAATTTGACTTTTACTTTAATTGATGCAATTGTAAGATGTAATTCAAGGCAAATCACCTATAGAAAGCCCCCAGAGGGAAAGGAGCATTCAAGTCAGAGTGTATAAACGGCTGGGGGTGCGAGCACAGCAATAACTCCCCGATACTGAAGCACAGAAGCAAAGATCCAGTGCAATAAATAACTCTAATCTTACCTCCTACTAATAAGTAGCTATTTGGGAAAAGAGTTTTGGCTTGCATAAGAGCTCTAGCATGGCCAGCGTGGAAGAGGTCAAATATCCCATCTGCATATACTCTGACAGGTCTGTCAACTGTGGAGAGAGAAAAACAACAGTGATTTTTCAGACTCCAAACAAGTTGCACTTAATTCTATTGGAGGGGTTTTTATTCCCAGATCAGCTGGTTGTGGATATTTACCCCAACTCTGATGTTCAGAAGCAACATGGGTGAACTCACAGTGTTTTACACTGCACATTACTCGTTCTTTGCACTCTCTGCTGTTTTCTCTCAGAGTAAGCCTATTTATTATCATCCATCATCCCCATATTCTAATTTAGCAAAAATGTCATCTTTCTGCCTCATTTGGAGTTCCACCATATGTCTTGTTCTTTTCTCTCTGCCTTTCTAATCAGCTCTGCCTTACGAATTTTTTCCCCATCATCTCCCTTTTCCTCCCCTCATGCCTGTGGCTTGCTTTTTTTTACTGCTGTAAAAATGTATTGCTTACATCTTCTACGTAAACCTTTCACTTCCCTTTTTTCCATTTGGGATTTCATGTGAAATCATCCTGCTTCCTCAGCCCAATCACACATGTCCAGGCAAAGAAACTGGCATGGTTTCTTTGCAAAGGGCAAAGGACCTTTAGGCCACTGAAGGTCTGATGTGATCAACAGGAACACCAGTGAAAGAAGAGTTTTCCAGCATGCACAGGCAGAGACAGTATGTAGCCACTACATTACACAATTTTCAGGCTGGCTGGAGTGGGCTAGCAAGCCTTCTTTCCAACAAACATGCATTTGCAAAAACATCAAACTCTAACTTGAAATGTTTTCTCTTGTTTTCTCTAACAGGAAGTAACAGCCCTGTAGTTGCTGGTTACTTCTCTGTGACCTGATAGCACCAGATATCAGGCTGGCCCTTTTGCTTTTGAGTGGAAGGCACAAGTGAGCATTAATCATGCTTGTAAGGAAGAACCTGTGCTTTGGGAGTGCTCAGAGTCCTGTGGAAGCAGCTCTCTCCACATACCTGGAGTTCCCAGGCGGGCTTGTGCAATGGTTAGTTTCTCATGGGGAGCTTGGCACTGACAGCTTGTTTCATCAGCAAATGGAGCAGGTGCCGTCAGGGTCTGGAAGGAGGAAAAAACACAAAGAAAGTAGATGTATTTTTTCCATCAAGTAGTTATAAAACAACTGTGGCAGGATGCTGAAACCAGGCTTGGTCTCCGGGGATTTTTGTCTTTTGGTTACCCCTGAGCACGCACAATTCACATGAGGTAAAATGATGAGGAAAATAAAGCTTTCCAAATACGTCATGCAACTTAATTCTTTGTCTCTGTTAGAGAAGTTCAAGCATTTTTGAGGGGGGTGAAGGTATACAATTTTTCTGTTTGCAGAACAAAGTCAGGTTTGATGGTCTGAGCAGCTTAACCCTTGATTTGGTCTCAGCGACTCCAAAGGCCCAAGATGAAAAATGTATTCTGTTACCTGTAAATAATAGCTGGAAAAACTAATTAGGATTTAGAAAGCTGCAAATGAGCCACCTCTTAGCAAGTACTTTCCTTGCACTGGCATTAGTACAGATAACTGCAAGTACAGATTGTTTTGTTGAGGTTTTTATAAGAAGGTTGTATAATTTTGAGAAGCCATTCAAAATAAAGGCAAGAATGCAACCTTAAGTCCCACTTAACTAGAGCTGACTGAACTGCAACTCCTTTCTGGTCTGACACATACTGTAATAGCACTAAAATACTCTTAACTGTGATCAGAGCACCACAAGGGTACTCACTCTGAAGAGCTTATAACCTAAAGATACATGAGACAGAGTGAAGATGTGTGAAGACTGACATGGCATTATCTGTCAGAAAACTTGGTTACAGAAATTGTATTTTCTGCCCATGCCTATGTAGGAAGTTATCAGCCATCAGATCCTCATATATTTATTATCTGCCATATGGTCTGATATGAAAAAAACACACTTCTACAGCTTTTGGCTTGAAATCCTTACAAAATCATGGCTGAGTTTTGGTTTGCTTTGTTTTTGTGAGATGAAGTGGTGGTTGAGACACCCTGAAGGAAATCTAGCACTTACTTTGCCTCCGCCCTGATTTAGCTGGGACCTCGTGGCCGGGCAGCTGTGAGCTGTCTGCGTTTTCAGTGACCACTTGAGTGATGTACAGTTGTCACAGCAGTTTGAACACCAATGGGTAATCTCTTTTTGCCTTTACACTTTTTTTTCAGATTTTTGATACTGAATGCTCAATCACTGAGCATTTAGCATTCTTTAACATCCCTGAGACACTTGAAGATGTCATGCCTAATTGCTGCTGATCTCAGGGCTCATTGCTTTGTTACACAGAAAGCCCAGAGGACAGTAGCAAAACGGCAACTAAGACTTAGAGATTCATATCCAGTTCTTTCTGATGATTTACTACTCATTTTGTTTACTGAAAGCACTGCAATTTTATGTGGGTTTCTTATTTTTCCTTTCCATTTTTCTTTCCTTTTTTTCCCCCATAATCTCAAATGTTACAGGAAATCACCATTGTTAGCATCTTAGTGATGAAAATCAAAGCATCTCTGCACAGACGAGGTTAAAAATGGAGAAACTATGACCAAGTCCAAGTTTCTGTCTGGGTTTTGTGGACGGGAACTATTCATCAGGCCACCCACGCTGCACAGAGTAGAACATTACATGTAATCATACAGTGCCAGCTCCTTCCTTTATTTTCTAAATACTGTCTTTTTGCTTCTGGTTTTGCTATCACTGGGTGCTAATCTGTCTTTTTATCTCCAAGCAAGGTCAAGTTACATGGCAGCCTGTAAAGCCTCGTTCCTGCTGGGATAAAGAGGAAGGCAGTAATGTTAAAACAATAATGGCTATGGTCTGAGGCCTGCAACTGGTAATCAGCTCCTAGCTTGGCAGAGGTTGTTTCCTTGGAGGTTATTTGAAGAAAATAGGCCTGGTTTGCAGGAAGATATCTCTTTTTCCCCACAGGCAAACACAGTGGTGCTTTTCATCCATGTAACCACCTTTGCAAGATTTTTCTTTTGGTCTTTGATCAGTGGAGAACAACCTCTATTAGCTTCCCATCAGTCCAGCTTTTGTAAATGCTCATCATGAAAGCCCACTTTACAGATCGGGGCTTAGAACCCGACCGGTCAATATTCCCATTACTCTGTGACCTCTCAGTTACTGGATATGAAAATAAATCAAATGCAATAGATTTAAATCAGCAATATCCTATCAAAGCCACATGGAGAAATGCATAAATGTCATGTGCTGACAGATCAAAGGAAATACAGCAATAGCTTCCCAATGAGTATTCAATACTATTTTATCTGGCCTAGAAAAATTATTGCTAAGTTTACAAAAACAGATTACAAGTAAGATGAGACCACCTGGTTTGTATGTAAGACCATAAAATAAAACATTTCAAGAAATTATTAGAAACCAGATACAATTTATCAAACTTCTTTTAGTTTGCATATAATTACTCATATTTTTTCCAGTTTCTTGTCAGTAATAACTAGAATTGTGAGAAGAGAGCAAGTAATTTATATAGCAGCTTTTTCATTTTGGTTAATCCATTACAGTACTTTTAGAAGTTTGCTGTAGTTTTGACAATAATCAGATGGTTAGATGAAGATTTTGTGCAAATGTACTTCTGTCTTTCTCTGTCAGATTTTTCCCTTCATCTCTGCATTACTTATATTCTAGACATTTATATTTTGCAATTACTCAAGCAAGTGAAATTAACCCTCTGTTTTGGACCAAGATAAGTTTCTGAGATCTGCATCATCCCGTAACAGGGTGGTCTACAGCCTAAGCGTGAATTCAGTGATGAGGTATCTCATTTTTTTTTTCAGCACCTGCTTCCTTCTTGCAATATTTGCTGTTCCTGTGATGGACGTTTCAACAAGTTCATCTGCAGTCACCTGTTCCCTGCCTCTCTTTTCTCCCCTGAGTCACATTTTCCAGGCTGAACAGCTTTACCACATTTACTCGTTCCTTCTATGGAAGCGAGTCCACAACTCTGATTTTGTTGCCCTTCTCCATCAACTGGAAGGTCGTTTATACATTGTTCAAACCAATAACTTTTCCAGTTTCTAGAGCTTTAATAGAGAGGAATAGAGAATTATTTTATATGGTGCTCACACTTGTGGTTATCTTTGATGACATAAGCACCACACGTGGTGTCAGCAGGGAGACCTTACTTTCATTTAAGCAGTCCAAATGTGTTGTAGTTTTAGTTAAATGGGAAAGGCTTTTGGTTAATTTTTTCATACCATCATGTAGTTTGGAGCATGGGGGACTTCTCTTTGAACAAGATATACTTCCAGGTTTTGTTTTAACCTAGTGGGGAGGGGGTGGCTAGGTGATATTTTCTGCTATTGTTTTGTTTGTTTGGTTTTGGTTTTTTTGGGTTTTTTTCCATTTTGTAGTAAAATTATTATTTTTCCTTCTTCATTCAGACTCCTTGTAATTTCTACTTTGTCAATATTTGAGGGGAGAGAAATAAAAGAAAGAAAAGGAGGGTTTATCTCTAATATTAGAGGTCTCGCTTCCTGAATATATTGTTATTAAAACAAGACAAAATGCCACAACATTACTGCATTATTAATATGTGAGAGAAAGCTTATTACATATCACAGACAGAGAAATCCTTGGAATATTAGGCCTTATTAGTGATATTTACTTCAGAAAATGATAAAAACCTTGCAACGTGAGTCATGTTTCATGAAAATGAAGACACTGGATTCAATACTAACTAAATTCACTTCCTAAAAACAAAGGTATGCAAAACCATCCTACCCAGTAACCCTTACCTATCAAAAGCTGTTCATTCTATGAGAAGTTTAAATACTGTCTTACTTGCTTTCTATGAAACTTGCAAAAGAACTGAATGATGTTCAATAAACTTCAGGACATTAAAAGATGGAAGGCAGGTAACCAGGGGCTTCCCAGCAAGCACCTCACAGCTCCATGTGCACCCAGCAACGTCTTTGTAACCCACAGGTCTATTTAATGGGACAGCAGCCCAGAGGGGAGAGCACAGTGTTGTAGGCAGCCCTGAGCGGGTTCTGAAGCTGGGATGCTTCACGAAGAAACCCTACATGACAGCTAGAAGCAGCTTAATTTCAGGTGTATCTTGATGCTGCCTTTTTATTATCACTCTTCATAGTTTCTTAGGCTACTGTAGCCATTTAACTTAGCGCCTGGGCATCAGATAAACATTCACGTTTATGTTTCTAATGGATTAAAAGGAAAATTGTCAATGATCTGCAGGAGTCCTACCACTGAAATAACAAGTCAAAAGCACAAGCACCTCTCTTTTTTTTACAGCCTGTTGAGGTTTTGTTTGATTGTCCTCTGTATGTTTGGTTGTTGGATTGGGTTTTTTACACTGCTGCAAGGAAGACAGAAACATTTTTTTTTAAATGGGCAAATGTGGACTCATCCATGTCATAGTAACTCCGCCTGCAGTGTGACTGCAGGAAACACAACTAATGGAAGGAGATGCTCTTCTTTTTTTCATTCACAGAGCTACACCACCTCCCTCACCCCACAACACAGACAAAACCGCTGTCGTCTTGGCAAAGAGAAAAGTTACACTGTCATCTAAGATTTTGCCATCAACAAAGGTCCATGGAATTTCAGATCTTGAACCAGTAGAGTTACACAGGCAACACTTGGGAGAGCTGGCTGAGCCTGTACTTATGAAAGAATTAAGCTGGCAGGGAAATTCTGCGGGAAGTCTGATGCTGTAATCGCCTTTTGTCTCAGAGGCAGTATTTAAAAGAGATAAGTGATTTCACTGGAACAAATCACATGGATAAGATCTACTCATACGAGGGACGATTACTCTGGGAAGTTGCTCCTGATGCTGGGAAGCAATAATTACAGAGCAGGAAACACTGACATGAGTTTTAAGGAACATTTAAGACAAAAACTCTAACAAAAATATTGAAAGATAACTAAAAACATGTACCAAGTTTCTAAAGTATGAACGCTCTTTGCAAGTGGAAAGACCATGTTAAGGAGTACCAAGGTCTTCTCCTACAGGTTTAGGAAGTGAAAGCTGTCAAAAATGAAAACCATCTTGTTTCATGTATTATCTTCAGCAAT